ATGCACCACAACTATTACAGATCAAAACGTTTTTCACGCCGAGGATTTAGCTCAGTGGCATAAGCACCTGTCTGGCCAGCGCAAGGTCATGAGTTCAATCCCTAGTATAAAAAAAAAAAAAATTCCCTCTAGGAATATGTTGTAGAGTTTCAGTTTCCTGGGTGGATACAAAATACCTGCAGTTACTATGTTGGCAGTTTAGCAAAGCACAGAACAAGACGCCTTCCACGGGTCTCCCAGCCAGGAAACACGGATTCTGTAATCAAGGCTAAAATGCTCATCACCTACTTCAAGCCCTCAGGTGAGTGCTCAGTACTCTTTTAAAATGACCAAAGGTTTAAAGTGTCTAAACTGGGGTCTCGGGATTTAGCTCAGCGGCATATGCACCTGCCTTGCAAGCAGGCAGTTGTGAGTTCGATCCCTGGTACCAATAAAAAATTTTAAAAATACATAAAGTGTCTAAACTGTAAGTAATACACGCTCGCCTGGGAAAATGTCCACAGCGTGGTGTTAATGGAAAACTGTAGAGTATACAGCAGCTAAATAAAACCCACTTTTGTTTTTTAATGGCAAAACCAAGACTGGAGATAAAAGCTCATTGGTAGAGCACTTGCCTCACCTGCTCAAGGTTTGCCCCTAGTACCACAGGGGGAAAACATAAAAAGGAAAACTCTTGTAGAGATTGCTTTTCAAAATTACTCGGGATTTAGCTCTGGTGTAAGCACCTGCCTGGCAAGTGTGAGGTCTTGAGTTCGATCCCCAGTAGTAAAAAAAAAAATAAAATTTAAATTGTAAATGATGGAAAAGCAAGGCTGATTAGGTCAATTTGAAGATATTTTTAGAAGCTTTTATTAACCTCAACTCAAATGATGGCACCATTTGTAAAAATCAAATGCAATCAAAGTGCTAAGCCCGAGCTCAGCTGCATCCTGCATTCTCATCGGACCGAGAGCTCCCAAAGTCCTCACCGGAAGTGCAGAAGCTTTTGCTGAAGGAGTCGGAACGGCTGCGCTCTTTCTCCTCTTCCCCTGGATTTGCCCTTGATGGATCCTAACCTGCCTCCTACTGCCCCCTGCTGGTTAGACAGGAATTCAGCTTTTCTCCATTTAATTACAAATGCCATTTTAGTAAGACCAGTAGATAAACTGATCCCTGAAATACAAAAATTGTTACATTAATCGCACTTAACAGTGACTCTAAGAATTTCTTGCTACAAAAACATTGTGTGTAGAAAACCAATGAGGAAATGGAAAATCAAAACATCCACGTTTCCACAAACCAATGTCAGCACACTGACCATAGCCTTCCAGCCCCTCCTGGGCATTACCGTGCTTTCATCCTTTTGTCTTCTCAATATGCTACCCTACTGTACGTGTTTTGAATGCTGTTTTAAAAATACTTGTACTAGCTGGGTGTACCTTATATTAGGTACATTACATTAGGTATATTAGGAACATGCCTGCAATCCTTGTATTCAAGAGGCTGAGGCAGGAGGATTGATGTGAGTTCAAGGCCAGCCTGGGCTAGTGAGACTTTGCCTCAAAAATAAGTAATTAAACTCTTTTATGTCCTTCCATACTGTCCATTTTTATAGCACCATCATCGCCCAGAGATAATCTATTTAACCATTGTCCTCCTCCTCCTTCAATCAAACATTAATAGCTCAATGGCCAAAATATTTATAGCTATCCCCATTCTTTTATTGGCAATTGGCCTAATGTGTTCTCTTAAAGATTCTCCATATTTATGCTTTATAATTTCTCTCTCCCTTTAAAATAAATTAACAGAATTTCCTAGATTAGTAGGAACACAAGAGAGTCATTAGGACCCTTTTAAATGTTTCGGTTTTATCTTTCAAGTAGAAACTTCAGAGACTGAAGCTGTTTCTCCGTCTCTCCTCCAGTCCATCTCCTTCCCAGAGCCAAGGCACTGTGGACACCCAAGCGGCATGTGGTGGGAGCTCATAGAGCACAGCACGGGTCTCTACACATTTCTCATGCATTGCATAGCAGGAGATCTTAGAAAACTGCCCCACCCATGCAGGTAACCAATTCTCAGGACACACCCTCCTCCCTGGGTTCCAGGCCTTTACAAGGAAAAGCAGGTTTCGGTGCAACTTCTAATTAGCAGGCTACAATTAAACTCTGTGGGCTCTCGAGGAAAAAAAAATAAAGTAAAACCCCAGCTGAAACATTATAGGACTAAGTAATTTCAAGTGAGAAGTGCCAATCCTGTGGTTGAAGTGTAAACCTTGAGGTCCCGGAGGCCTCCAGAGCCTCCACCTGTTTTCAACTCTTCACGTCTGTACCTTTGTCATCACAAAACCTCAGTATGTGGTTGCCACTCTACGATTAGCCTGTAACCTCCAGGACCCTCCACGCCCATCTTCAGCCTAGGGCACCAACACTGAGTCATTTCACCCACCAGCTTCTCCAGTGAAGGACAGGAAGGAGGACCTGCTGGCCAGTGCCCTGGGTACCTCCCTGGCCCACCACACTGCCCTTACCTTCTGGCTGAGCTTCCTGCGGGCTCTTCCAGCATGCGACGAAAGCTTCTGCAAATGCATGGCTGAGACAACAGGCAACCTCTCAGGGCAACTCTGCCTGCTTCCCCTCCCAGGGGTGCCTGTCCTGCACCGCGGGTCTCAGAGCCTGTGAACTATCAAATGCCTGAAGCCTCCGTCTGTGCTGAAGAGAAGGCTCCATCAGGAAGAACCTAGCTCCATTTTAAAGTCCAGTTTAGTTCTCAGGGAGTCTACAGGTGTTTCCTGCGTACTAGGACTGTTGATACCTACACACTCCTTCCTCTGCAATCCAGGGGCCTCCTAGGGCCATTTTTTTACAGCTTCTCTGTAGATGTCCTGAGTCAGTTAAGCATGATGAGTAACTTACCTGAAACACATTTTATAGACCCAAAACCAGGTAGAAAGAAAATGAAGTACTTGATGGCAGGGGACAGAGGTGTCTTCCCACAGCCAGTATAAATGGGAACTTGCAAGGGTGAGCAAGAAGCTACCGCCTACTCAGGCCTCCCTCAGGGTACACAAACCCTGGAGATTCTGACAGGAACTGAATTTCCAGAGTGTTTTCTTCCACCATTATGAAGACCTGGCTTTCTGCCTGGGACCTTCAGTTCTGATGAGCTTCAAGAATCCCGTGTCCTACAAGCAATTCAGTTCTACAGTGCAGTGACATTTGAGCTGAGACTTCATGGAAGAGGTAACAACAGGAAGGCCCTTCCCAAAGAGAGAAGAGGGACTAAAGAAGTCATGGAGAGGAGCATGGGTTCGGGGACCAGTTTGGTTTAGAAAATGCACTCACCGCTCAGAAATCTAAATGACTCGAGGCTTCGGCAGGATAATCAACTGCATGGCATGCTCTAGGGCATACTGCAGTATCAACTCAAAACTTCAGTCAGGCATACAAAATTTGAGGTACAAATGGGCAGTTGTCAAGACACACATCCCAGAATTTAGGGGAGTAGAAGCAAATCTGCCAACTGAGAGGGTGGAAATGGAGAAACTGAGACTGAAGAGTTGGTAACAAGGGTATGTTTAAAAAAACAAAACCCTGCTGCATATCAGACTAGGAATCATTTCTTTTGACCAATGAAAGGTTAGTGGCAACATTATACCCACTTTAAGCAGCAGGGACAAAAAAAAAAAAAAAAACAGAAAAAGATTTGACACCTCTAAGACTGAGAAACAGCACCGTGACACACCCTAAGCATGTACTACAGTCAAGTGTTTTGTAGGTGAACCCCATGTAACCAGCTGATACAAAGGCCTGCAGGCCTAGCCACCTAAGTCACATACGGATCGAGTCACATTTTAGGACCTGACTGGGAAACACTGCAAGATCCAGTCTCAAAAACACAAAGTCCAGTGGGAAACAAAGGCAAGTGATTCCAAAAGTAGGTGAAATTCACTCAAAACACAACTATAGGCTTAAAAGATTCCCTAGTGCAAACCTAGGGAGGTGGCCAGTTAGAAACATTTCTAACAGCAAATAACTTTTAACCATGCTATTAAAAAAAAAAAAAGCAAATTCCCTCTAACTGGCAGACAGAACGCCCCACCTTGCCCTTTCAAGCAGCTACTCAATTCCTCTTCTCCTGACCACAGCCAGGAACAAAGACAGCCCAAATGTCTTTTCATCATAAAAGCTTTCCTTAGAAAAACCACACAAGAGCCAGGCGTGGTGGCTCATGCATGTAATCCCAGCACTCAGGAGGCTGAGGTGGGGAGGATCGTGGTGAGACCAGCCTGGGCTACAAAGTGAGCTCAAGGCCAGCCTGAACTGAAATCCCCTTCCCAAAAAAGCCAAAAAAAGAGAAACTATGCAGCACCGAGTTGACAACTCTAGTGCTCAATTCCAGATCTCACCAGCACAACAGCTCTAAAGCTGCTAGTCTCACTGGAGTCAACATTTTTAACCTGGGCGGCATCCCTTTATCCATGTTGGGAGAGTATATAGATAAGCACTCAGGCTAATAACCAGTACAGGTTCTACTGTCAGGTGGGGACTAACACAAGCATTGAACTCACTTGAATAAAACTTGGTCTTCAAGACACCAGGCCTTAACCAGACTGTCTCGAAATCCAACTGGCCATTTTCTCCATGGGGTTTTCTGGCTGTGTTGTAAGAGATCTCCCGCTTCTGCAACAATCAGGCCAATGTAGGCTGCACCAACAACACACATCTCCATGGAGCCCCGTGCTTATTACACTGCTCATTTCCTGGCTCACCCAGCTTCTGCAAATCACCGTTGCACCCTCAGCTCAGCTCAGCCTTTTTCTGTAGTTTTGGGATGGTCTACAAGGATGACTGCCCACTCCCCACTTAAAACATGAGACTGCTCACCTTTCAACGTCTCAGCATGGAGCCAATGAATAGGCTTTAAAGTCAAATGAGTCAATTTGTGAATGGCCATTTTGCGTGTTACTTGTCTTTTCATTAACACAAACCTCAATTTACTGCCATAAATAAAAAGCCAGAGAATAAAGTGAGCCAAAATTTTTATTTATTCATTTCTTGCATTTAAAGTATTCTTCAATTACATCCTTGGCCTGAGATTCTTTGCCGTAGTCCTTAAAAAAAAGAATTACATGCATTTATTATTCAAGTTTCACTAGTTCTTCCCACTGGTTTGAATGTCCTATAAAAATGTTTCCAGCGTTAAAACGTGTAGCCATTTTCAGGGACCTTAATGACTTCAATGATGTCTTTAAGGCTCGTAACATGGCATTACTATCGCCAGCTTTTGGTGTTACACTTCTGCACAAACACTTACAGATAAGCAGATTCATAGCTGGCTTTGAAATCATGGCTTATCAGAACATTTTTAAACTTGTTCAGACTACATTTCCCCCCTTACGAGGTCCCCAAAATTTCAAATACCGACTTACCTTAACCACCACACAACTGCAACCAACCACTTTGCGGGGTTTCCCCTCTCGGTCAATTTTACAGAGGCCTACCCATTCCCCTAGTTTCTTGTTGTCATCAACCTATTAGGCAATGTAAAAACAACACTGTATTAGCTGACAATAACGCTACTGACAAAATACATTAAAGCCTGAAAGGTAGCTGTCATCAGAAGGGTGACATGGCATTTTCCTCAAGACAGTTCGGTAGAGGGAGCCAGTTGTCATCATGCACAGCACCAAAACCACTCTAAGCACCCCACCTTTTTGTTCTATTAGCCAAAATGCACATTTAGTTCCACAGATGTAAAATGCTTTGATAATCAGCATAGATGTAGGCCAAACCCATGTAATGAGTGTATCTGCAGAATGTTATCAGCCTCAGACAGCAACTGTCCTAATTCTGACCCAACTCAACCAAGACTGCTCTGAGCAGTACAGAAAAAGCCACTCACCTTAATGAGGTTGATCTGGTGTTCAGCACAAAGGGCCTCCACTAACTTTACATACATGGGCTCATCACAGTTGGATGCAAGCACACAAAGATGAGCTTGGCGTCTGAAACACAAAACACAACTGTGATGAAGCCAAAGCTCCAGTTTTAAACCCACTACTCTGGCTCTGCTAAAGGAAGATCCTTTGCATTGGCCGTATGGGCAAAATACAAGCAACAGAGAAACACACCTGTTAATTAGTACACTATAAATATCGTGAAACTGCTCCAATGTGACAAACTTGTCAGGCCACAAGATGGCTGGAGACTGGAATACTGATCTTCAATTCACCTCCCAAAACTTTTATACAGTAAAGTAAAAAACATGTGGCCAAGCTATGTCCATTTTTTATGTCTGTTTCACACACCCAAAGCCTTCTTGGGTTAGATGCAGACCACCAAAGACATTTATTACAAACCTAGAAGCACCACTGCATTATTACTGCTGAGCCAAGAAAATTGTAACAAATTTCATTTACCTGCCTTAGTATATCCAAGGTATTGTACTACTTCCACTGTACTCATCTAGTTAGTTTACCAAGTGAATTTTACTGGCCAAGTTTTAACAGGCTTGAAGCCCTTAAAACTCACATCAAAAATTAACACATACAACTCACCAATAGTACGCAACCCAAAAGGAACATAACATCTAATCAAAACTAAATACATTTAACATTCTACAATCAAATGATTTCTGTAACTACACTTAGATTCATCTCAAAACCAAACTGCTCCTATAACCAGTGCCAGCTTAATGCACCATTAACATTTTGATTAACCGCTGTATTAAATATGGTTCCCCCACTTATAGTGTCAATGTGAAACTCACTTTATCATCTACAGGTTTGTCAGACTATTCATGTTTCACTCATGATAGGAGTGAAGGGGTATCCGACAACTTTAAGTCATCATTCAAACACTGTAGCTTTTTACTCTAAAATCTACTGCTCAACCCCACACCAAAACAGCGACCCACGTGTTCTAAGTGGGTTATTATGTAGAGCTGAATTCTGATACCTTTTCCTAGGTTTCCTGTTGAACGGATGTCATTCAGAACTTTTGTGCTAACACCTTGAACTTCACGCTTTCTTCCCTCGGCTGCGGTTTTGTTCCGGTTGCAACAACCCACCGTAGTATTGAGACTCACACACGTACTTGTCTAAGGCTTTGGCAGCTTCGCGGATGCCGCGTGCTAGGCCATCGTGGATGAGGGCGGTCTTCAGCACCTCTTGTAAAGCAGTATTGACGTCCATTACACCTCCAGCAGCAATGCTAAAAAGAAGCGAAACACAGCCTTCACTTAGGTCCTCGCAACATCCTAACCCTTGGACTTGGCGCAAGCATGGGCGATGCACGAAAGGCACGCCAGCAGCGTCGCTCCGCAGACCCAGCCCCACACGGCGCAGGCCCTGCCCGCACGCCAAATTCGGACCCCGCGCTCACCCTTCCTCGGCCATGGCGGCGGGTTACGGGTGAAGTTGAATCTTGAACACACTGGAAAACAAAGGCCACACAGCATTAAACTTAAAAACAAATTATTTGTCGTCCATTTGAGAAAGACGTCACCAAACCATCACCCAGAAACACTACCCTCCCAGAGCAACTCACCCCGAGCCTCCGCCTCCGCGCGACTCGGCGGCGGCAGGGAAAGAGGCTGCATGCGTCCGTAGGACGCTATTTAAAGGATTGGCTGGCCGGCTGTGCGCATGTGCACGTAGTCCCACGAGTAGGGTGGCCCTTGCAGTGCCAGATCTCGAGAATTTCTGTTTCCGGTTTGCGGCTGTTGTGAAGGAAAAGAGTACTGCGTGTTCTCCTTTCGCCTGCTCTGCGGGCGTTGGCACGCGCGACAGGCACTACAGTAGACAGCCTCCTGCCGTCCCTCTCTCTTGGGGGCGCGGCCAACGGAGGCCCAAAAACTTGTTTGACGGAGCGCGAGAAGAGCCAAATATCCCCGCCACATGTAATTTCCTTTCGGTTCCACTGAGCCTTCTTGAGGGTAGATTTTGCCCTTTTGAATGAACCTGTCATTATGCGGGTGATCCTCACCTTAGTTTTCTGAGCCGATCAACACATTTCCGCTACATCTTTTTCGGTTTTTGAGACAGGGTTTCGTTGTGCCGTTCAGGCTGGCCTTGAACTCACTCTGTAACTCTGAACTTGGTGATCCTCCTGCCTCAGCCTTGGGAGTGCTGGGGCTACAGGCATGCATTCCACGCCACTTCCACCCGGGCTCCCGTTTACGCCCCTTTTAAGCACTCTTAAATACCCCTTTGTTTGCGCTGTATTAGAAAAGCCGACCTTGCAGCCGATGGGCCGCTTCCGGGTTCTCAGTCTGATCTGGTTCTGTTGGAGGCGCAATGCTGAGTTCGTCGGTTGCATCCTAAGCGCTCTCAGTGTTTCTGACAGCGATGGGATTTGGTCTTGGAGGAGTCCTGGAGGAGTAAAACGACGTAGTGTGGATCTTTCCAGGACTTTGCGAAGTTGGGGGTGAAACTCCAGAGCCTCATTTCTATTTTTTTCCAAGACGAAAGATGTTTAACTTTAAAGTGAGTGTTCATTTCTCCTGCCCCTTTTCCAAAATTAATAGACAAAACAGCTGAATATAATCTGCACTTTTTTATTTCCTTCTATCTTCCTCTCCTGCAAACCCCAGCGGGTCAGCAATCACTGGTTGCCCCCCTGATGCACTCAGTGAACCGCGCAGAATCGAGGGTGCCCCAGGACATCGGAAGTTTTAGTAAATTGAGAGCATTCAGTTTTAGCTTTTCAAGTGCTTTGAGTTTCGTTTTAAGTGTGGCGACCACTCTTCGTCTCTAGCTGATACGATTATTGAACTTTGCTTGAAAAAGGTTTGCTGTCCTTCCATTTCGCAAAAGCTCTATCACCATGTTTCTCATTATCTTTTGTTTTGCTCTTTAATTTATCTACACTTTGGGTTTGTCACGTAAGAAAAACCATTATATATTTAAATTTGTGTAAGAGGGGATGGGGCAGAGGGGAAAGGGATGAAAAAAGCACTAAATTGTGTCCCACGTGTCTGACCCCTCCAAAGGAATATAAACATGTGCTGGTGATATAGGGGAATGAAACTCCCGACCCACTATGTTGGAGAGTCCTGTTCTCGAGTTTCTGTTTAAGAACAAGGAAGGTTGGGGCTGGGGGTTTAGCTCAGCGGCATAAGCGCCTGCCTTGAAAGCAGGCAGTCCTGAGTTCGATCCCCAGTACCGATAAAAAGGAAAAAGACAAGACAAAAAGGAACAACAGAGGTTAAGAGTACATTATATTTATTGAGAGAAAACAAGCTTCTGTCTGAGAGAGACAGAAGGGGGTCCCAAGTGGGTTAGCAAGGACTCTTTTCTAGGGACTGTTAGAGAACAAAATCATGGGGCAAGATGTGTTCAAGGTCCCAAAAGACTGGGAACTCACAAAGCAGTTGGGCATAAGGTGGGACATAACAAAAGTTAGCCAATAAGATTAGTAGTTCAGGTAAAATTGATTAAATTGAGGACAAATGGGAAAGCAAGTCAGAAAATGGGCATTCTTAGAGCTGTGACTCTTCCCAGGGGACAACTCCTGGCTTCCTCAGGAATAATGGGACTGACTCCTGGCTTCCTCAGGGTGGTAGGGACCTATTTAGAATATCAGTCCTAGGATGTGGATGCATTTGTTGAATCTTTGTGAGGCCTAGCCCACAGCAGAGGTGTCTGTCTCCCCCGCAGTTGCCAAGTTTCTAGGTTTATGCACTGGCTTCTTTGAGGACTTAGCCCTGTCTCACTGCCTATCATATTTCTAACTAACTTAGCTGCCTGGTAAATACTGTAAAATTAAAAAGCTCTTGATAATCCTGCCACTGCCTTTTTTGAGGTGACATTAAAATTCAAACTAAAGTTTAGGGTCCCTCAGTGCTTGGAGGGTGGAACATAGTGGCTGGGGAAAGCTGGAAAGAAAGGTGAAGGGGTTTGGGATTTTAGGGCTTGGGCGGCCTTGGGAACTAAGGGCTTGCAAACAGGCCGGCAGTGAGCAGAAGAGGAAGGAGTGACGCTAGAGAAGGATTGGGCAAAGCCTGGGTGCCTTCTTTGCTTTAACTTATTTTTTTGTAAGTTATCTTAAAACATTTGTAATATTTGAAAAAGAATATGGTAGGTAGTGTTTCAGCACTTTTTAAAATCTAAAATCAGTTAATTTGTTAAGCATACTACGTTTCTAACCCTCCCAGTTTAAATCTTTTTTTTTTTAAATACAGGCTCTTGCTATGTAGCCCAGCTGGACCTCCAAATCCCTGCCCAAATCTTTCTAAAGAAGAAGCAGAGAATTTGATAAAATCCTGGGAAATGTAAATGGGGAAAGTAGGATGTTCATTGTCACCAAGAAATACCATTTATGTGAAAGAAAAATGTGTCAGTGCCTTTTAGCTTGGTGTCTTTAGTGCTGTTTTCTCAGCAAAGAACCATCCGGTTCAGATGTGGTTTGTCTCTTCTAGCAGCTCGTAGTCTGTTACATGGATTCAGCCATCATGGACCTCCTCCCTGAAACCACACCTCAGTAACTGCAAACCTGTCTCTTTGGAACTGAAGCTTTTTTTTTGGTCTTTTTCCTTTTTATTGGTACCGGGGATCAAACTCATGACTGCCTGCTTGTAAGGCAGGCACTTATGCCACTGAGCTAAATCCCCAGCCCTGAAACTACCTTTTTAAAAGTCCTTATATACCAGTCCTAGTCCCAAAATTAAAGCTAAACGATGCGTTTTGTGATATGGGGATTGATTAATACAGATTCTCCTAGATCGCTTTTTAACATTTACCTCAAGTTTTAGATACTAATAAAGATGAAAAGAAATATGAATAGTCACTCTTCTACAAGCCAATTGTAACATTTACATACTGTGTACAAAGGTGAGTCTGAAATTTGCACATAAAAATAAGTGGGACTGGAACTTAATGATAGAGTCCTTACCTAGCATGCTTGAGGCCCTTGGTTTGATCTGCAGCACTGCAAAAATGAAAGAAAAAAAAGAAGATGACCATGATGACGAAGAAGAATTCTACAGTTTGTATTGGGAACAACAATAATAATAGAAAATGCTATTATGTGCTAAATTCTTATCATGTATTTTCTTCTTTGCCGTAGAGACCCTATGTTGCAATACCAGTGTTAGCCTCTTTATCATGTAAAGAACCCAAGCCTTAGACAGTAGCCCAAGATCAGAGCACCAGTAAGTGTGGAAACTGCTCTTTTATCCCCAGCCTCTGCTTCTAACCATCCAGCCATTTGAATAATTCAGAGAGACCACTGAAAATTCAAGGGTGGCTACATTTCATTTTTGGCAACACACCACTGGTTCTGTCTCAATGACTGTGCTAACGTTTTGCACATGAGATCGTTAAAGGGAAGATTGCAGTTAGGCAGGGGAAAAGGCAGCAATCAAAATTTGGATCCCTGAATCATCTAAGTGTAGATGTTGCCTGAAGGGCGACACACAAAGCAGTCATTGTACAGCTGGAAGGCTGGAAACCTGAGATCAAGTCGTTGGAAGGTTAATTCCTGAGGAGGCCGTGAGAATCTGCTGCTGCTTAGCTTTTGGAGATTGTATGGTAACCTTGGTGTTCTGTGACTTAGGTGACACCCTCCAAAGTTCCAATGACATTGTTTCTGTGTACATGTCTGTTTTTCTATTGCTGCTTATTTAGGGGCCTGCCCTTCTCCAATAGGCCTTGTCTTAGCTGATTAAATCTAAATGAAGCTTTTTGCTGAGGTTTTGTGGGTTAGTACTTCAGCATACAAATTTATGGGGTTTGTTTTTGTTTTTGTTTTTTAGAATAGAGTCTTGCTATATAGTTCAGGCTGGCTTCAAACACACAGTGATCCTCCTGCCTGAGCCTCTGAAGTGCTGGGATTACAGGCATGTGCTACTATGACCAGCCTCAACATAGAGATTTTGAAGGAGCATATTTCAATTTATAATGCTGAAAAGAGCCAGACATGGTGGTGCACAGCTGTAATCCCAGCACTACTGAAGCAAGATTGCTGGGAGTAGGAGGCCAACTGGGCTATAAAATGAGACCTTGTCTCAAAAAAAAAAAAAAAAAAAAAAAAGGAAGAAGAAAAACAAAAGGAGATCTAGAACAGATTAAACACAGAAAAGTTCTTTGGTTTTTAACTGCAGAAAATCTTGCTTAGAAGTCCAGAGCAGGGAAGAAAGCTGGGCCTTTGTATGCTAAAAATTTTACATTTTTCAGGCACTCCTAAACTAAGCTAAAAATTCTAGCTCACTTTGCAGCCTGTAGCAAACTACATTTCAATACAGTAGTGATACTGCTAGAATATTGTTGTGACAGTTCTTTAAGGTGTTTAGTGCGGTACCTGTGAAGTATAAATAACCTATGAAGAAATTCATATGGAAATAGATGGAAATGTACTTAAATATTACCTTTCTCCTGTCCTAAATTACCCAGCACATAGTCTACTCCTTTGCCTATTGGATTCACTGAAAGTGTATACTAAATGAATTCATTTAATAAGATTAAAAAAGCATATGGGTAAATTTCATTGCAAAAGGAAAGTCTTGTTGAATACTAACAAATTAGCATTTGCAGTGCATTACATACTTGGAGGCTTTGGGTATCCCAAATGACCTTTTTTGTTGTTGTTTGAAGACATAAAATGTCCCGAGCTTCATGGGTAGAGATTAAACACAAATTCAGTGGATGGAAGAGAGTGTTAAGCAGTAGCAGAAAAGATTTAACCTCATAGCTCAGGATAGGTCTAACCCTCATCTACTATATAGCACGTACTGTACTGTAGTTTTAAACACAGTAAAGAAAAATTAGTCATAGAAAGATTTGCCCATTGTCTCAAAGGAAAAATCGAAGGAAAGAGAAGAAATGATAAAAATAATTTAAAAATAAGACAGTTGATGGATGAGTAATAGTAGGGAAATAGATCAATAAAGGCTGTAAAATGTTTAAAATGTTTAAACTTGTAAAGTTAGTACATTACAGCTGTAACTGCAAAACAAGTTTATTAATGAAAAAAGGTGACAGAGGAGAATGGAACTAGACAATTGCATAGCCAAGCATGAAACCCATGCCAGTAGTTCATGTATCTTATGGGTTCTGTGTAATTTCCATCTAAGTCTCATAAGTCTTCCTAATGTCAATGTAAATTTAAAGAAAAAAACAGAGGTTTCCCAAAACCAGTGATATTTATTTGGGAATCACTCAGCTTTCAAATGGGCATGTTCAAGGAAGCTGCGGCAAGTTAGAGAAAAAAATCAAAGAGAAAAATGAAGAGGATTATGTCAGGTGTTTTGAAGCATGATGCTTGGTCACATTGAGTAATAACAAGAATGCTGTCAGTCTTTAAATGCATGAGATTGCTGCCACACAATTGTCCTTGTGGGAGAAGAGTCCAGTGGCCTCTCTCCCAGCTTGTGGTTCCGACAGCCTTTTGTGATAGTTACCATCAGAGAGTTAAGCACAGGAGCCCTTCCTGAACAACCTCTTGGCTTTATTTATTTCCTTTTCGATAGTGATGATGTGAGAAAATCACAGTTTCAGTTCTGACAACTCTCACATCACGTGCACTGAGGCGGTTTCCTCCTCTTCCTGTTGCTTCACTGTCTGAATACTGGACCTGCTCACTGCAGGGCTAAGTCGTAGTTCATGGAGACGAAACACACTCTCGAAGAAAACCAGAATACCTAAGGTTCAAATTGAACACAGATGTCATGTGCTCTGGGAGAATGATTTGGGGATGACAGTGCACAATGTATGTACCATTATTGCCCCCTGATTGATGTGTTTTGAAATTTTTTTTTTAACTTTTTATCAGTATCAGGAATCGAACTCATGACGGCCTGCTTGCAAGGCAGGTGCTGATGCCGCTGAGCTAAATCCCCAGCCCCATGTGTTTTGAAATTTTGTTGTAGTTTTTTTCTTCTTCTTTTTATCTTTGGATAAAGTGGATTTGAAACAAAAAGAATATTTATTTATTTATTTTTGTCTTTGTGAGGCAGGGTCTCACTATGCAGTTCAGGCTGGCCTTGGGCTCACTTTGTAGCACAGGCTGGTCTCGAACTTGTAAACAATTCTCCTACTTTGGCCTCACAAATGCTGGGATGACAGGAGTGTGCCACCACACCCGACTAAAAAAAGAATATTTAATGTTCATAAGGAAACTCGTTATAAACCAGCGAGGTGGTCATTTACATCTAAGAATAAGAACAGTTGGTGAACAGAGCAAACACTAGTGGTAAAATGTATGCTACTGACATGAAAGAGGGCCAGAGCACAGGGACTCCAGATCCTAGCGCTGTTTCCTGTGGAGCAGCACAGCTGTTGTCTCTGTGATGCTTCACTGAAGAAGGGTTCCCATGTTCCGAGATGGTTTGAGAGTTGCACTTTTTAGAGCATTATTGGAAGGAAGCCAATTCCACCATCCTAGATCAGGGCTACTTTAAAAAGCAAAGTCCTGGTTACAGCTGTTATACACCAAGAATGAGTGTAAAGGAAAAACTGTGATTCAAGGATTCTTTGGTACAGATTCTCCTCCCTGTCATTTTGCAACTCTCTCCCCTCCTCAAAATACTTTCAGCCTTGGGGCTCAAGGCTTCTTCAGTGGAATGCAGTAAGGATTTAAAGGAGACACCCTCAAGCCCTCTGCAGGTGTGGATAACCTATATCATTATTTTTGGAGCAATTTTAATTGTTAGTAAATATTGAACAGCTACGCTGTCTGCCATATTTATTTTCTGATTTCCTTCTACTGCCACTTGACCCTGAGTTGTAGATGATGCCAGCTTTGCTCCTGTGTCTTCAGTTTACAGGTGACGTCTTTATTTGTAAATGGCAATGATTTTTTTCTTCAAAAGTAGGATAATCATTCTCAGTGTAGAAAGTATGATAATACTATATTGACTGTAGTTTTTAAGCAACAAAATAAGCTATGAATAAAAGGAACAATTTTCTTTATTACTTACTCTTTTTTATTAGCATATGTTTGCAAGGCATAGCATATACTTTCAGCATGGGGATTGAAAATGGATTTGTTAGAAAGGTACTGGATGGCTCACAGGGTGTTGCTGAGAAGTCAGGATTAGGAATGGTGGCCACAGAATCACTCCATGGACCTGGGTACAGGAACTCATCAAAAATCTTTAAGCAGAGGCTACTGATGATCATCTGAAGATTCCTCACCAAACCATGACAGACGATTGTCTTGCTTTTGTTTCACTGAAAAAAAATTTGTAATTCTGCTGTAATTTACTTGTTATTCTTTTAGCCATATCTCTTTCAGGTAGAGGACAAAGACTGTGAGTTTGAGATCAGCCTGAACCACCTAGTGAGTTCAAGGAATGATCAGATTTGTATCACCTCAGTTCTTGTAGGCATTAAAAATTAATAAAAGAATACAATGAAAACATGCCAATAAATTTATGGCTTAAATGGGATGCAAAATCCCCTTAAAATTTTGTAACATACTCAAATTTGACACAAAACAAGGTCATAAATGTCAATATGCTTAGCATATAAATGTTTATCAAACGTTGAATTTTGTCAGACACTTAAGGAAAAAATAAGACCAATCTTATTCAAATTCATCCACAAAATGTGAAGGAGGAAAAGATTCTGACTTGTTCTTTGTGTCTTACATAAAAGCTTGACAAAAGAAATTACAGATTAAGATTACTGAGAACAATTTACCAAAGAGTAACAAAATATTGACAAACTGAATCCAGTAGTATACAAAAAGATTATATCCTAAAAAAAAAAAGATTATATCCTTACTGAGTTGAGTTTATCCCCAAACTGCAAAGTTATACTAACATTAGAAAATTGATTGAAAGTTACTATTTTAACAAAATAGAGGGGAAAAAACCCCAAATGATTGGAAGATAACAATATACAATGTATATACCATTGTTAAGCCCTAATTATTGTGTCTTGAAATTTTGTTCTTTAAAATATTTTTGCTCTTTAAAATAAAATAGATTTGAAAAGAAACAAAGCAAAACAAAACACCCAAATATATATGAATAAATACTCATTTATTATAAATGCAGAAATATCATTTCATAAAATTCAATACCAATTCATGTTAAAGTTCATCAGTACACATCAATACATAGAAATCAACTTTTTCAATCTGAAAAAAAAAGCACCCATGAAAAACTGACCACTAACTTCCTACTTCTTGGTGAAAGAACAAATATTTTCCTCTGTGTTGATTACTTTTTTTTTTCACTGCTGAGACAAAATACCTGAGACCCAAGGTTGAAGAGGGAAAGGTTTATTTAGCTCACAGTATATGGAGGTTTCAGTCCATAATCAGCTGTCTCCGACACAGTGTGGCATGACACAGGGACACAGTTCAAGGCAGCAGAAGAAGCAAAGCAACAAGAGCAAAGGAGGGGGTGTAAGCTTCTTTTCCTCCCTCATACTGTAAGCAGACTTCCACCCTCAAGGGCGCGGGTGTAGCACTCACACCATCTTGGTGACTTCTTCTTGTACAGGATGAGGATGTTTACAAAGTGAGGACCCTGGCTCCCTGCTGAACCACTTCACTGAACTTCTAAACTTCTCAAATTGACACCATGGATCAACCATTACAGCTCACCTATTGTGAACTCAGCAATCAGACACATTTCTTTAAACAAGTCTCCAGATACAAAGGCATGCTTATTATCATGTCACAATTTGAACCTTATAACACAAGTTTAACAGTCCTTAAGAACCAGTATTGAGTCTATCAACATTATATTACATTGGAACCACACACAGCATTTCACCCCTGGCCCCCCAAAGACTCAAATGTATCCTTTTATGCAAAAATACTTAGTATATCTGCAAAAGTTGCCACAGTCCTAACAGTTTCAGTATTACTGAAAAGTCCAAGTCCCAAATCTCCTCCAAGATGTGAAATTAATTCTTAGCTGCAAGCCCCTATACCAATGAAAACAAAGTTAAATATTCCCAACATTTAATGGCACAAGTTAAACATTTTCATTCCAAAAGTTACAAACAGGGTAATACAAAAGATTGGGACTAAAGAAAGTCCAAAATCCAGCAGGGCAAACATTATGTAATTTCACATCTAGCATCTGAAGAAATCTGTGACAAACTGTGTGCTCCAAAGAGTTTGAGTTACTCCACCCCTGTTGCACTTCTGGTGGTTACAGTTCCCGGTTTCTCTCTTAAGCCTGCTTTGCTTTCTCCATGTGGCTTTTCTTAGATGATCCATGTTCCTGGATTTTCCAAACTTCTGGAGTCTCCACTTCATCTTTAGGCTCCCACTCACAGCTTCACACACTGCTTTCTCGGGGGCTCAGTGCCTGGCCTCCCAGGCCTTCTGAAATTGAGGTCAAAGCCTTTTTATCCCCTCCACTCTTGCATTCTGCATGCACCTAAAACCAGCACCATGTGGATAATTCCAAGGTCTGCTGCCAGATGGAGCAATAGCCTGGCTTTTCTCTCTCTTGGCTACAGGGGTTGAGTGCCTGGATTGCTGGGCACTCTGAATTGAATTGTGAGGAACACATTTTCTGTGCTGCCACCATTCTGGAACCTGGCACTCTGCAGCTTTCCTCTCAGAGCAAAGTCTTTCACTTTTGCAGTTATGAGACTACAAAGGGTGGAGACACCAGCTTCTTGTGATGCCCTCAGGCCGTCTTTTATATTTTCCTGTTCCTTCTCAGCAATCAAGATCTCCCCAGCTGTATATTTGCAGTTCACAACTTTACTGGAGCATCCTTTCTAACTCACAACATTTGAATCATCCTGCTGCATATTTTGCTCTTGATTTTCAACATAAATCTGGCTAAAAAGCCCCCAACAACAGCCATGCCACTGCCCCAACATTCGACTGCCTTGAGATTTCTTTGAGCAGTTAATTAGTCGACTGCCATTAATCTTAGTTTCAGGCAACGTCTCTGGACATAAGCAAAATACAGATCAACTTTTGCCAAGCCATAACACATATCCTCTGGAGTTCAACACCCATTGCAGTTCTTCTTCCCAGCAGAAACCTCCTGAGCGTGAACTTTAATGACAGGATTTCTATCAGCCTTCTGGTCTTCTGGTCTTTGACCAGGAGCTCACACACGGTACAGCCTGAGCTCTACTTTTTCAGGCAACATCTCTGAATCTTTCCAAACTCTTCCCACAAACCATTCCCAAAGATGCTTGAACCACATGGTCAGGTAAAGTTACAGCAATGACCCCACTTTCTCTGGTACCAAATTCCGTCTTGGTTACTTTTTTTTCATTGCTGGGGCAATATACCCAGCCCCCAAAATTAAGGAAGGAAAGGTTTATTTAACTTACAATTTGTGGAGGTTTCAGTTCATAATCAGCTGGCTCCAAGGCAGGGTGACATGACACAGGGGTCATGTTCAAATTTGCATAAGACTGCAAAACTAACAGGAGCAGAAGATGTAGAGCAAGCCTCTTTTTCTCCCTTACTTTGTAAACAGGCTGTTACCTCCTAGGATGAGTGTAACACTCACACCATCTTAGTGCCCACCTCTTGCACAGGATAAGGATGTTTACAAAGTGAGGATCCTGGCCTCAACAGGATCAAATTGACACAATGTATCAACAATTATGCCTTCTACCATTAGGAACAAAGTGAGCTTCACCATTCTCATCACATTAATTCAACATTTTACTGCTTAGTCTAAATGCAGTGAAGGAAGTGAAAGAAAGAAGCATACACTGAGGAAAGGGGGACTTAAAATTCTATTCCCTGATGACACCGTTGATTAATAGAACATCTGAAATAATCTGTAGAACAACTATTGGAGCTAGCGTGAGGTTTGCCAAGGTTGTAGGATAGTGGAGTAATATAGAAATTAACTTACTTTTATGTACAATCAGTAAATGATTGGAAACTGTAATGTAAAACAATTTAATTGCTTCTAAAACTAAGATATTTAGGAATAATTTAAGATGGAGAATATAATTCTTTTATTTTTATTTTTTATTTTTTTATATTTTTTTTTGTCTTTTTTCCTTTTTATCGGTACCGGGGATCGAACTCACGACCGCCTGCTTGCAAGGCAGGTGCTTATGCCGCTCAGCTAAATCCTTAGCCCCAAGATGGAGAATATAATTCTTGCACAATAAAAACTGCAAAATATTTTGAGAGAAATGAAAGGACGTCTACATAAATAGATAGCAAGTAAATGGGTTAAAACATTTAGGAGTCTTTAGACATAAACCTCGTCAGGATGATCTATGCTCTGAAAAATGTCTCAGTAGGAATCATCCCACCAGGGGTTGGGAAATTTGAGATCTGATCTGATATTTGTATAGCAGATCAAAGGACTGAGAATGTTCAACTGCTCCTGAAAGAGAAGAACACACTTGGAAAGTTTCACAACCTGATTTCAAACACACTGGGTCTCAGCATCTGACTGGCAGAAGACTAGAAGACCGGACCTTGCCTCCTAAAACTCCCACTGTCAAGTATGACAGCATTCTAGCGCAGCAGGGTTGAGGTGAGGTACTGGATCTCCAGCCTGGCTCTTCTGGTGTTGCCCTCACATATGCAGACGTGTGTCGCAACAGTCTGGTGGCAGGAGTCCTGGGCCACTTAAGGCCTGAGCCCAGGGCGTCTCCTCCGAGTGCTGTGTGATGTCCTTGATGATTCTTTGTGCTTCATAAACATTGACAAGTTCATATTCTCCTGAAATAAGTCAAAGATTTTTTTCTTTAACAACATTGCATATTAACTGATACAAGTGCTAGCAAGAAAATGAAGACAGGTCAAGAGACTAGAGTTGTATTTTGGATGAGATGGTAAACACAGATTTCTCTGTAGAGGTGCATCTGGACCAAGACCATACTATAAAGTTTATTAAAATGTCCCAAACACTTTCTAAACATAATGTGTGTTTATATATACATGAACATATGAAACTAGGAATATGTACATGAACATATGAAACTAGGAATACTATGGCAGGCTGATAATTGCTCCTCAAAAGAAGTCCACATCCTAAACTCTGGAACCTGTAAATATTACCTTATTTGAAAGGAAAGAAAGAAAGGAAAAAAGAATGAAAGACAGGCTCTGAGGAGATGTGATTAAATTGAAGATCTTGAGATGAGGAATTCTTCCCAGGAGGTTCCTAAATTCCATCAAAATATTTTCAGAAGAAAGTGATAAAGCCAGGCATAGTGGCCCATGCCTGTAATTCCAGCACTCAGGAGGCTGAGGCAGAGCATCATTGAGTTCAAGACCAGCTTGTGTTACAAAGTGAGCTCAAGATCAGTCTGAACTGCATAGCGAGATGCTGTCTCAAAAAGACGGAGGAGGAGGAGGAAAAGAAAAGAAGAAGAACAAAAAGAAGGAGGAGGAAAAGGAAAAGAAAAGAAGAATGAAAAGAAGGAGGAGACAAAGAGAGATCACATCTCAGGTGAAGGGAAGCAGGGCAAATACAAAGGAAGAAATTGGAGGAATAGGGGCATAACAAAAGCCCTGCAGACACCAGAAGCTGGGAAGGAAAGAAGTAGATTTCCAAATCTGCAGAGGGAGTGGGGCCCTTCTAACATCTTGATATATTTGGCTCAATGAGGTGGCACAGTTACCCTAGGATTGTAGGTTTTCTTTCTTTTTTTTTTTTTTTTTAATGTTACAAAGTATGGTAGTTTGTTGGATGAGCTTGAGAAAAGGAGTAATTCAGTAGCACAGTAATTCAGAGGTTTATGGTGGATGAATTTAAAGATGTACTCTACAGCATGCTGTGAAGCTAAGCCATGATGTTCCCTGGGTTTGATGCAGTGAGTACACATTTCATTTATGATAGTTTGAACTTGTGATTGGTTTATTGGGACATAGCCATGCAAAACAGGAACATGGGTTTTTTAACGTTAACTTTGATCATCTAGAGAGCGAATGAGAGGCAGAAACTAGAAGTGGAGAGGAGAGTCAGAATACACATTCACACAAGCACATCACAATACTTTTTATGTAAATTAAAGAGAGACTATTTCAAAACAAGAATGCACATTTATGAAAACATACCCAAACAAAAAGATTTGCATAAGCACGTAAGACTGGTTGCTAATGGGGGAGAGGAATGGATCTAGAGACAAGGAAATACAGAAGTGAAAACTTCAGCGGAAAGACTGCCTACAGAAAGTTGGGAAAACTTTCTATTAAATGGAAAGGAACAAAGAAAGCAAAGAAATGTAGAACAGAAAAAGAGTAATAAGTAGAGAGCCAATTTGGAAGATCAGCCATGCAGGCCTGTTGAAAAACAGAGCAAGCATGCTGATGTAAAAACTAATTCCGCAGATTCCCTTCTGCGGGTTGATGTTAGATCGGACAGAGAATGCGGAGTTAAATGAGAGTGGAGAAGCTGACATGGGTTAGAGCACAAAGGCTCCATAGGACCACATGGGGAAGCTTTGCCAGAGCTAAAGCTTGCACTTGGGTGGTTCTAAAGCTTTGTGCTTCTTGGGAGCTTTAGGCATCCTTCAAGGTCAAGGGTGACATTACTTCCTCAGAAGCCATACAGGAGTCATTTTACCAGTCCACAGTCCTTTCAGGTTTCTATTGTAAAACCCATTGCACTGGACTTAACTATTACTGTCGGCTTTATTTGCCAAAAGGAGGATTACCGAGGGCAGAGGCTGGGTGGGACTCATTTGTCTCTAAATTTACAATGTTTGGCACAAGGTGGGAACTCCACAGTCTTTTGCATGAGCCCCCAAAGCAATTTTCCCAGTCTCCAAATTTTCGGCCTTCGCAAATAATAAATAAGGAAAAGGCATGTGTGTGTGTGTGTGTGTGTGTTTGTGTGCATGTGTGTACGTGTTTGTGCCCGGGAATTGTGAAGGTGAGATTAGGGCAGCAGCCACACATTTAGAAACCTTATCAGCGCATCACCCACCCTGCAAGGCAAACTTTATAATCTCACTTGTGCACATGGAGAAGTCAACCGGGCCCAACGTCACACAGCTCTTAAGGGCCCTGCATGAAACCCAGCATCCGCCTCCAGGGCCCTCCTAGCCACCCTGTCAGGCTTCCTCCACGGTAATCATCACTCATGCCAAACCTTTCCTCGAGGTATTTCATATAGTTTAACTGATTTTCGTTCACTGGCAACTGGCTTCAAAGATTGCAAACATTGTCTGATTTGCATAGGGTCAAATAACTCTTCTTAAAAAGAGTATGAGTCTAATTTTCTAATTTGCTTTTGTGCGTTTAAGGTAGAAGTGCCCAACTGCAGGAGGCACACCCTCGGCCCCTCTTCTCTACAATCCACACGCAGCTCTAGAGGACAGAGATGACAGCCAAGAAAGTCTAGGAAATCAACGGGGAAGAAGAGTCAAGCGCCTGGCTTCTCGGCTCAGGCCCGGTCCCTCCCTTAGCCCCGCCCCATCCAGTAGCCCCGCCCCTAGCCTTTCAATCCCATCCCCCAAGGCCCCGCCCCTCCAGAAGCCCCCTCCCCTTAATCAGCCCCGCCCGCGGCTCCGCCCCGACTCACCCGCGGCCCCGCCCCACCTCACTCAACCCCGCCCCCGCCCGTCCCCCGGGACCTTGGGTTCTGCAGGGTGCTGGGCCGCGCTGGCTACGGCGGAGCCGGGATGCCAAAGCTAGGCTGAGCTTTCGCAGCTGGCCGCTCCGTCCCTCAGAGGAAGTTGGATCCACGGTCGAGGCTGGGATCCGGACCTGGAGTCGCCGCACCACGCATGGACACGTCCGCCACCCGGGACTCTGGGGAACCAGGAGGTGACCCGGTTGGCGAGGCTGGGCGCGGGGGTGCAGGCCCGGCTCAGGCGGGGATCCAGGTGGCTTCAGAGGCCAGAGGGGTTTGTTTCCGAGCAGTCTGCGAGACTAGGGCCTGGCCCTGGGGTGCGGGCCGCCTTGCTTTTTGCTCTGGCGTTGGGGGACTGTATGCGCTACTTTCACGACTTCTTTGAAAGCTCTGCGTCGGGTCAGTGTATTTAGGAGTCTAAGAACGCGCAGTGCGCGCTGATCACAGCGCTCTGCGGCTGGAGCAGGAGGACCGCGGGGGCTCAGGGCCACACCAGAGGTCCAGACCCGCCTGCCTGCGGAGCGACACCTCCCTCGCCTCCGACCCGGGCACTCAAACAGTGTAACATTAGACAGCCCAAAGCATTATCTTTATTCACCGTTATAGCTTTTTACCATTTTCTCATTTCCATTCATCAGCTCCTCTTAGAAGTTTACAGATACGTTTAAGGCTTCCTCACGTTGCACTGATTTTTCCTGGACTACAGCGGCAATCAGGAAAATCACAGTCAGGAAAACCACTGTATATTTTTCTCTCAAAACCAATTATTTAAAAATGACTAATGGCGCCTGCCATTTGACACGCTCCCATTTTCCCCCACTATGGACCCGCCCCACTTCGTGGTTTTGCTCTATAAAAATCTGTGGAAAAGGCAGGACCTTTGGTGACCCACTGGGGGGGACCCCTGCTTTCTCTCAGACAAAAGCTTTCTTTCTCTAATGGATTATTCTGTTTTTTTTAAAAAAATGGCTATTGGAAAAAAAATGACTAGTGGATTTGCATGAAAGTTTGAATCCCAGCCGTTCTGGGTTTCCTTTTGTTAAACGACAATTTAACCCTGGGAACCAGTGTCAAATGAATTGATACAAAAGAACAATAATACAAGGAAAGGAGTGATTTGCAGATTAGTGGCACTTTGCAGAAGGATGACTTTGTATTAATTCCCTGTTGAGAGACTTTTCTGCTGTTTACACTTCCCTTGACTTTAGTAGGGTCCCGAAATTCCTAGTAAGCAGCTAACATCACATGTATCCAACAAGTGCATGTGGTAGATGAAGTTAATGATTTTAGAAGAAAAAGGGGCATTTATTTCGGAGAGCTTTACCCTTTGGAGATCACTTTCCTTCCTGTCCAACTTGAAGGGACTTAGGAAACACCAGAGCAACCGGCAAAGCAAGCCAGGTGGCTTCATAACTTCTGCGTGGAAATTCTAGTTAGGGAACAGTGTATAAATGACAGTGAAGTGTCCTCAAAATCGTGGTGTTCCAGGATTGTTTTCCCGTTGGTCCTTTGTGCTGTGTTTAAAATGACTGTGAGCTCAACAAATGTCTTAAAACTGTATCATTTCTGCACAGAAATGACATTTGTATATTTCCATCAAGAGTCCCAGCTACATGCCTGTAATTCAGTGTATTTGCTTTCAAGGTGATGTCCCTGCAGGAAGTTCAAGAGAGACGCCGAGACGGTTTTCCAGGGATCAACTTTTTATACTGATCTCAGCAGCTTCCATGAACTTGGGCTCCATGATGGCATATTCTATCCTCGGACCTTTTTTCCCCAAGGAGGTGAAACATTTTTGTATCTTATGAACTCTGTGTTTTAAAAATCCCTTTCAATTATTTCACTTTGCATTGTACAAGCATAAAAATCTGTATATACCTTGATGTGGTGCCCCATCCTATAATCTCAGTACTCTGGTAGGTTGAGATAGGAAGATCACAAATTCAAAGCCCAAAGCTCAGCCCGGGCAATTTAGCAACATAATGAAACTGTATCTTGAGAAAAATTTTAAAGGATAGGGATGTGATTCAGTGTGAAGGCCTTGAGTTCAGTAACCAGCATCACAATAAATGAATGAATACATAAAATTTTCATATAGTATAGATAATGTGTAGAATTTTAACCAGCAGAATTCTTTTTTCTTTTCTTTCTTTCTTTCTTTTTTTTTTTTTTTTTTTTTTTTTTTTTTTTGGTACGGGAGATTGAACTCAGGACCTTGAGTTTGCACAGCAGGTGCTTGTGCTGCTGAGCTAAACACCCGGCCCCAGAATTACTTCTTATGGACTGTGTTATGACTTGTATCTACATGTCACCCCCACCCCCTGCAGTGCCTCAGGTCCTGATAAGGGTGCATTTCATAGGTGGCTGGATCATGGTGTGTAATACTCAGATTAAGAATGTGTGGGATTAGCCCACTAATTGGCCTAGCATAGTTCTGGGTGTAGAAAATGGGAAGGTTAACCCTGGGTGTGGTGTGGCCTAGAAGAAATATAAAGGGAGGCTTGCTGTTGCCTGTTGCTGCTTGCTGCCTTCTTCCCTGCCCTGTCATGGGCTGTTTCTCCTTTGTGATACCCCTCTGCTGTACTATCCTGCATTGGAACCAGTTTACTAGGGACTGAAACCTCTACAAACTGTGAGCTGAAATGAACCTTTTCTCCTTTAACTTGTGGGTGTCAGGTGTTTTGTTCCAGCAATGAGAAAGTAACAAAGACAGACTGTTTAATACAACAGACAAAATGAAAGTCCATCCTCTTGGAAAATTACCTAAAATATAACTGACCTACTGAACATTAATGCAGTGCCAAGCAAAAACACTGGAAGGACACTCAGGCTTTGGAGGCAAATTTATTCATGTCAACAGGCATTGATCAGGATCATTCCCAGAATATCAGGCCCCGATCTCTAGTGGTCCAGGACTTTTAAGGAGGTACAAAAATGAGACAGAAGACCCTGGCAATTCTTCCAATTAGCTAGCAGGGTGAGATCATCTGTTACAAGGATAGGTTAATGATCATCAGTTTACCCAGCCTGGTACAATAGTTCAATCGGGCTTTTTGTGTGTTTAGTATGATCCTGAGGTTACGGGAGTCAAGAAAGTAATTACAAAGCTGTGAAGTTTCGAAAGAACAATGTTTTATTAAGAAAAATTTTCTTGGACAGGTTTTCTCTTTCATTACTTTACTTGATTGAGCTTTATTTGGTTGTCTGCCACTGAAAAAAGTAGGTACACTGGGTAACTGAGATTTAAACATTACTGCAAAAGGTTGGTGGTTAGGATGGGAACTCTGTTTTCTGGTGTTTTGATTTATTAATATTTTGGAATTAGGAACCTAGTCCTTCACCCGCCTTCCAACTTAATTCTTTTCAGTATTGTGCCCTGGTGCCAGGGACTTCACAGTGAGTTGCATCCCCAGCTGTCTTTATTTTGGACAGTATCTCTCTAAGTTGTCCAGCTAAAAGACTCAAATTTGTCATCTACTTGCCTCAGTCTTCCAAAGTGCTGGGGTTGCAGACGGGTGCCAGACATCCAGCTATTAATTTTTCTGACTTGAATTTCTCATAGACTGTAGCAGCAGTCTAAGGACCTAAAATCTGATAGGATTACATTCTTAGAAGGGAAAACCAGTGCAAATTCCATCTCTCCTGCTGTACACTTACAATACACATCACTTTTGTGGCTTCAAATGGTGCAGGAGTTTCTCCCCTCCAATCAGCTCAGCTATAGATGACAACAGCTGCGTGTTCTCTAACCAAAGTCGGTTCTGATACCACCTTCTACCCTCTCTCTGGTAGCACCAATTCCCAAGACTGCTCCCCACTTCCTGTCAGGGGTATGGGCCAGGAACCATTAATAAACCATGGAAAGCCTAGGTTTTTGTCTGTGCTTTCCAATGGGGTCTATATGCAAGCCGTCCTTTTGGATGGGTCAGTTGATTTGCCTGAATGGACACAGAACTGAGGGACACACTTGCTGATGCTTACAGGTTTCTAAAGGATGCAGAGGAGGAGATGTGCTGGGTGAGCAGGCAGCGGTGGTGTGGAGCTTCCCTGGGCTCTGAATGCACCACCCTTGAGGACCCTCCTGGGTTCGGCAACTAGGATGCTGGTCCATCTGGGTTTCCAGAGGCCTCCTTGCAGAGGTGTGACCGCTCAGAGACTGGGTGGAAAAACTCACCAAGAACTGCAGGTACAGCTGCTTCTTGGGCTCACTGTGCAGCATTCTTACCTCAGGCATTGGGGTGTGTATCAGACAAGGCAGGTCAGGGGTATGGGCCAGGAACCATTAATAAAAACCAAAATGTATGCAAAATGATGTCCTAGCACCTGTGGGGCTAAGAGAGGAGCTGGTTGACTGGGCACTTCCCAGCCCCATGGAACACAGTGACCACAAATAATGTTAGTTTTCTCTAAGTGGAGCAGGGACCAAAAAACAACCAGGCTGAGGGGACATGTTTGTAAGTTTTTGATATAATGTTTTCACTTCCATGGTAAAGGCTGAAAGGAACAAAAAATCAATTTGGGAGAGAGAACATTCTAACTTTAAAAGATGAAGTCAGGGTCGGGGATTTAGCTCAGCCGCGTAAGCGCCAGCCTGGCAACTGTGAGGTCCTGAGTTCAATCCCTGGTACCAAAAAAAAAAAAAAAAGATGAAATCATGTGTACTTCCTAGGCTCTCCCCTTTCATTGCTTATTAAAATTCTGCGTTGACTAAAGCCTTGGTAAAATCTCACTGTTCGTTCAGTGTGTTCTAAGTGGGCAGCTTGAATCAGGCAAAAGACAGACAGGTTCGTTCTTTCCACACACTGGTGCCGGAGTCTTGTTTTATGGGTGTTTTTTCTTGCCACTGTTGGATGATTACTTGTGAACCACAAATTGCTCTTAATGTCATTGTCACTTTTCTTGTGTGAAGCCAGATCTTGTTTGTATTACAAAAGTGGTGTCTGGTTGCTACCGTGGCGTGTGATTCTAGGGCATCCTGTGTCACCGCTCCACGTGGGTTGAGTGCTGGGAGCGTGCCCCCAATCCATGGTAACTGGACTGGCTCTGTGAGGGGTAATCTTTGCAAGTACCTGTTCTTATCTGTGAATGAGGGCAGCTAACAATGCAGCCTTTATTTGATTTTTGTTACATTTTATGCAAAATAGCACTTAGTAGAGGCTCTGACCCATAATGAATATCCCAGAAGTATTTGTTCCTATGACAACTATATACTTTCTGCCAGATTCTAGAAACAAATGCTGTTCATATCTGTGAAACTAAGAATCCATGTAATTAGAGCAATGAACATTTTTCCTGTAGCTTGTCTCTTTTGATAATACCCTCTCTTTGAGGTAACTGTTATAAAAAGAATTTGGATTTCAAATTCCAGTCTATCTGTGGGATAATCTTTTGTTGGGGTGTTATTAAAAGGATCTTAATAATGATACCTCTTCCATCTCCACATTGTTAGCTCATATGATTATTAGTACCTGGAAGGAACATAGTCAATTATGAAGCTCATAGAATTACAGGTTGGAATCACCTAAGCAAGTACTGTGGTGCCGTGGGCCCATTCTCTGGGCCTCACCCACATATGCAGCCTTTCTTGAGTAAACGTGGCTGTAGCAAAGTTTATCTAGGACCATTCAGCCCTGATCTGATTTCCTGTGACATGACGCTAAGAGACGTGTAGAACTCATTGAAAGAGGCATGAGAAGCAACCCTTAGAAAAGGCAAGGAGAAAGGATGATGGTCTCTTCCATGGAAAGGGTCAGAGAAAAATCTGTCTTACAGCTGTCGTTGGAGGCCTGGGGATGTTGGCTCAGTAACAGGGTACCTGAGGTTCTGGGTTTGATTCTCAGCCCTACGAACAAATTGTAGTTATAAAGGTATAAATTGTAGTTATAAAGGTAAAGAATGTAGTTATGGCTGTTGCAGAGAATGGATTTTGAGTGTATGTGCTTTGCTATGTAAGAGTAAAGTTATTTGAAGAGCTGGGAAGAGAATAAATATAAACGTAAGCATTGGTGATACAGTGCCTACCACCCAGAAAGGGCTCATTAAATGACTGACTGGCCAAGAGAACACAGGTATGTGGTTTAGGCTTCGAGACTCGTAGTGTGCTAAGATGCAAACCATGTATTTAAATAATTAAACTTCTTTCTCGTGGTACTGGGATTGGCTGCAGTGGCTTGCGGATGCTACGCAAGCGTTCTTACACTGAGCTACATCTCCATCTCTTTTTATTGTTTTTTTTTTCTTTTTATCGGAACCAGGGATTGAACTCACGACCGCCTGCTTGCAAGGCAGGTGCTTATGCCGCTGAGCTAAATCCCCAGCCCCTCCTTTTTATTGTTTTGGCACAAAGTCTCACTAACTTTCCTAGGCTGACCCCCAACTCTAGATTCTCCCACCTCAGTCATTCAGGAGTGAGCATTTGCGGGGTGTCCCACCATCCCTGACTAAACTCATATATTAACTTCTCCCATTTCTATAGCCACGGCCTAGTAGAAGGAAATGCTGTATTTCCAGGACTAGAAAAGGTTTCCAAAATCTTGTCCCTATTTATTTGTTCATATGTGAATTCAGTGGTGCATCAGTACAATGGCATTTAAAATTATAAAGGGAATATTGTTATAATAAACACAAATCTCAGCGCTTCCTGGTGGCATCGGCTAAAATCACAAATATGATTTCCGGGTAATAAACTACCACGCATGGCTTGGAAGCATGTGGGATATCAGGAAATATCTGTTTTTCTGCATTGTTGATTTTGGGAAGGAAAAGTTTCTCCAAAGGTGAGTGGCAGAAGCAGGGAACCAAGCCCTAGGACGCTTGGTGTGACCCGTGTGCCAGTTCATGGGAGCTTTTCACTGATCAGAGGTTTTTGATTGTCCTTATTGAGTACAAATCTAACTAAAAGTGATGTAAAATGGAAGTGAGTCTGCGTCAGCTGTTTCCTCTGTACTGTGACCCCAAATTCCAGCCTGTGTTTTCTCACAGATATTTTTATGTGTCTGTATTCTCTGACTTTTGCCAACTGAGGACGTGTAAATGAGTTATTTTCATGTCAGAGACTAGTGTTTACTCTCTAGAAACAGCTTTTTCTCCTTCCTTACACCACTGATTTTGAAATAATAGCCTTTAGGGGGCTGGGGATTTAGCTCAGCGGCATAAGCGCCTGCCTTGAAAGCAGGCAGTCATGAGTTCGATCCCCGGTACCGATAAAAAGGAAAAAGATTTAAAAAAAAAAAAAAAAAAAGAAATAATAGCCTTTAAAGTTACTATACAGCGTCCCATACAGGTCACAAGATGATGATGTTTTAATTTTGTCTTCCTTTTTTAAAAATTTTCGGCTGATGCTATTTTGTTTTTCAAACTTTGTTCCCATTTCTGTTTCTTCAAAGGCTGAAAACAAGGGAGCCAGCAATACGATGATTGGCGTACTTTTTGGGTGTTATGCTTTGTTTGAATTTTTGGCATCTTTGATATTTGGAAAATACGTAAGTATTAAAGTTCCTGTACACATTTTAATTCTCAAAAACTGTAAAGTATTTAGTAGTCTACAATTTCCATGAATTCAGAAATAACCACCATTACAGTTGGCTTGGTGTTTTTGGTACTGGGAATCAAACTCAGGACCTTGTGCTTGCCAGGCAGGCACTTGTGCCCACTGAGCTGTATCCCCGGCCCAACCCCCATTATAGTTTTATAATTGATGCCATTGATAAGCGTCCCATTGTTAGGGTGGATTGGACTCCCCCCATGTTTGCCAAGCACTGTATATCACCATTCTTTTAAAGTCATACAGCGTGTTTGTTTATGTGAGTATAGACTTGTGGAAGTAATCCTTTACCACTCTTCTCTGACATTTATTATAGCTTGTACATATTGGAGCAAAATTTATGTTCATAGCAGGAATGTTTATCTCGGGAGGCGTTACGATTATTTTTGGGTAAGTCACTTTCTGAGATGTTTGGGAAATTGAACAGATTTCATATCTATCTTCAATGTAAAATATTAATGGCTCCTTAAACAGACCAGTACCATCCTTTTGTGGAATACATCAACTGAGACTACTGGTGGCAGGAGCTGGGTGAGTGGAGAACAGAGAAGAATGATATTGATCTCAGGTGCCCTGCAGGGGATCACCAGTAAATTGGCACTGGATCTACCCCTTTAGGGCTCTTCCATGACCGAGTGATAAGAATTATGATTTTTTTCAGTCATATAAACTTTCTGCCATAGGTAAAAAAGTGAAATTTTGTCCTGAAATATCAATTCAAAAACATTCAGATACAGTGGGGAAGCAAGGTCATCAGAAGTCTTTCTCAGCTTTGGGGCTCTGCTTTCCCCTATGCTTTATTCGTGAATAAGCTCGCTCCTTTTGGTGGCAAGATGGCTCCCCAAGGTCCCCGAGGAAGACACTGCCACTTTCCTGAGAGCCTTAGACTTGCAGAATGGAGCCTTGGGCCTAAGAAGAGGCCCTAGGCAGGAGGACACTGAATTGGAGACCAGACTGGTCTACAGCAAATTTAGATAGGTATGTGTGCTTCATACACAAATATAATGCCTTTTTATACGAGTCTGTAGCGTCCTTGGAGTTTGGTACCTCACCAGGATACTGGAGCCAGTCTCCATGGAAACAGAGGGATAAATAGTAAGCCCCAGGAAGGGCCCTGCCCAGTATTATCATGCAGAGAATCAATTATCTCAACATATAAGGCCAATAATCTGTCATTATGAATCAAATTGTCACTAGAAAAAGACTGAAAGTAAAACAATTGCTCAAAAATATAATCTACAAAGATTTATTACAGTAACTGCAGGTGATGCACTGCTGTTTTCAACAAGTACAGTAAAAATAAGAAAAAAAAAAGCTTGGCATTGAAGAAGTGCCCTATTTCTTTTCAGTGTCATGGACCAACTTCCTGATGGACCGATATTTATTGCCATGTGTTTTCTAGTGAGAGTAATAGATGCCATAGGCTTCGGAGCATCAATAACTGCGTCATCTTCAATCCTCACGAAGGCTTTTCCAAATAACGTGGCAACAGTGCTGGTAGGGAGGCCACCAATTCTTATGTTCTTTTGAGTGAATGGAGAAATATTTTTTGTGTGTGTTTCCAAGATAAAGCTTGGAGTGCATTCTTCTATACCTGCTTTTCTCCATTCTTTTGTGTTTTCATTTTCATATCCTGATTTCTACTTCTAAAAAAGAGTGTCCCATTTGTGGCCTTTAGCTGCTCCTCTGGTCTTCCCCGAGTGGGCAGTTTGACAGGTCAGTGTGGTCCAACCGGCTTCTCCTTTTACCTCTTCATTTCCTATATTCTCTGGGAGATTTGGAATCTATTAATGGAGTACTTTTGTGTACTCTGTTCAAGCCACAGGTGACTGTCTGTTCCAAACCCCCAACAGCTAGCGTTTAAAATGTTTAAAGTGCTGTGATTTCTTTCATAGGAAACTACTTTCTCCAGAATAGTGTTTTGCTTATTTTAACTTTAATTCACAAAATAATTTTACATGGTACAAAATTTAAAAACACAGGAAATAATACAGAATATAATAAATATACTTGAGTGATTGTTCAGCTTTATGCACACCTGCTGTCAGGTTCTCAGTCCTCTACCCGCTTTAAGAAATCCACAGATGTTCCAGGTTCATTCTAGAGAGATTTCAGACATGTACGTGTGAGCACACACACGTACACACTGAGAGATAGCATGATTTTCCTCTCCTCTTTGCTTTTCTTTACACAAATGATGTCACCTACCCACGTCATTCACCACCTTGATGATTACCCTAACAAGGAAGTAATATTGGAGATCAATATTACTGTACTTACATTAATGAGGAAACTAGTTTAGTCTTCTTTACTCAGAGTGTACTATTTTATCATATAGATATAACCTAGCTTATTTCAATTCTTGGTGGATCATTAACACCTATAGCCTGGCAGGAGAGAGTTTTGATAAGTGGTTAATGAAATCTGGTGTCCTGAGTTTTAAATGGTTGATTCATTTCTGTTAAAAAGATGAGAGTGATCTTGTGCTTCTTCTAAGTGCTGTTTGTATTACATTTTATATGTCAACTGTCCATGGCCCTCTCTTGTTCTCTTTTTTTGTACTGGGGATCAAACTCATGACCTTACACTTGCCAGGCAGGTGCTTATACCACTGAGCTAAGTCCCCAGCCCTTTTTCCTTTCCTTTTTTTGGCTTTTTGAGACTAGGTTCTGCTATGTATTCAGACTGACCTTGAGCTCACTTTTTAGCTCAGGTTAGTCTCGACTCGAATTTGCAATGACCCTCCTGCCTCAGCCTCCCAAGTGCTGGGATTAGGTGTGTGCACCACCATGCCCAGCCGACCTCTGTTGTTTTCTCATTGAGCTCTCACTGTCCTTCTCACTGATGAGCTGCATTGCTCAGGATGTCTATGGGAAATTAGTTCTTTGTCATTAATTTCTCCCATTCTTCATTTGTTCTCACATGCCTTGTTTTTCCATGTGCACTTTTTATATTATAAAATTTATCACCATTTCTTTTGACATCTTCTAAGTGGTATCATAATTAGAAAACCTCTCCTTTGTAAGAACTGAAAATGAGTCGAGGCAGAGAAGCATTCACCTGAATTCTCAGCTGCTCGGGAGCGAGGGTCATGAGTCTCAGGTTGGCAAAGGCGACATAGTAAAACCTGGTTTCAAAATATAAACTGGAATTAGAAACTCCTGAATTTTATTTAAAATTTCTGCTATTTTTTCCAGCACCGAGTTTGAACCCAGAACCTTCATACTGAGCTACATCCCCAGCCCTTTTTATATTTTTCTCTTCTCTCTCTCTCTTTTTAAGTTTTGAGACAGGGTACCATAAATCCCTAAGTTGCCTAGACAGAATTCTCAATCCTCTTGTCTCAGCCACCCAGAGTGCTGGGATTTCAGTATGTGTCTCTATGCATGGCTTATTTTTCTAGTCTTATTTTACATTCTCAATATGTAGACTTAGACTGAAATTATTTGTGCATCTTAGGTTGAGTGTGTATTTGTGTATCTGTGTAACTTGTGAAGCAGAATATTTTTTAAATGCTACCCTTGTTCATTTCTCAAGTGAAATACATTAACTTGACTTTCTTTTGTTCTTTGATTTTCAGGGAAGTCTTGAGGTTTTCAGTGGACTGGGGCTGGTAGTAGGTCCTCCTCTAGGTGGCTTCTTATATCAATCCTTTGGCTATGAGATTCCCTTTATTTCACTGGGATGCATAGTTCTGCTAATGATTCCTCTTAACATGTGCATCTTACCCAGTTACGGTAAGTCCATACTTGCTACTTATTTTAAGACTCTTAAATTTATTTTTATGCCATTGTAAGGAAACTATTTGACCAGGTCCTCACTTTTATATAATAAATCGTAGCTCTTAAGGAGCCCCTCGAAAGGATCAGTTCTCTTAAAAATGTTGAATATATTGAAGCGTATGGGGAATTTCTGCAGCTCACAAATCCTCTCTGACATTTACAGCTAGCCAGTCCTTCATCTGTGTTCCTAAAGGGTCTCCATATGCAGCGCTCGCCTGTGTGCCTCCTGGTCTGTGCCTGGTGTTCTGAAGGAGAACTGATCAGGGCCCGCAGGCCGCTGCTGTTTCCCTAGGAGCCTGGGAGATAAGAGCGCGAGGCCGTTCTCCCCTTGCGGCTCTTGCAGCTGTCTGCGTGGCTCATGCGCAGGTCCGGGTCAGGTGGCAGTGGGGCTTAACCTGTTGTTAAAGTTGATGCCTCAGGAGCCCATCTCCCCTGAGACAAACACGTGGACATCACTGCCAGCTAGTGCGCGAGGGAATTTTAAAAACTAAGTTCATTGGTAGAATTTAGATATGCCTAGTGGTCGCATTCATCATAGGGAATTTGCATCTGTACGTGTCACGCCTTCCTGCACAAGGGACTTGATGGCAGTTAGCACGCTCGCCAGGCAGAACACAAGGTGGCCAGTACTAAAGGTCACTTGTAGCTCCTTCTGTCCTGATGAAATTTCCCAGTCAGACGTTCATTATAAAGTTTGTCCAGTAGCGTGGCGCGCCTTGACACCTGCGCAGTCTCTAGCCTCACAGAACTGCAGAGTAGCAACCTGAGAGGTGGAGAAAGCGGCTGGACCGCAGAGCACGGGAGGCGGTACCTCTCGCGGCCAAGGGGCGGCGCTCGTTTTTCACAGCGCAGTGGCGCTTGGTTGCGTTAAAACATCCCGGGTTGTGCGCAGGTTTGTTGGATTCTGCGCTGATTGCTATGAAATAGACACCTGGTGAGATACCAAGGCTGCAGGAGCAAAACCTGCTAACTCTTTATCACACCTAGTGGTGGAAAAGGACTGCTGAGATAAATGCTCTTGTCCGAGCGGGGTACAGGTATCTGGAACTTGGTGATGGGGTGCAGAGGGACTTGGAGCCCTTCATCCTGGGTGGAGCCCTGCACGTTTCCACTCTGCCGTCCCAGTAATCACTCTGGGACTGTGTCGGGGTCCCCTGCTCCACTGTGGGCCGTGTGTCCCAAGCCTTCCTGGGATGCCAAACCGTGCCACATGTACTGTGCTTTTTCCTAGCTACGCCCTTGCTGAAGTTTAATTCATAGATTAGACACTGTCAGCGATGAAGAAAAGCAACTGACAATCAACGGAGCAGTTGTAACTGCGCTAGAATAAGTTACTTCGCAGTTTATGGATGTTGTAATTTCTGGAATTTTCCGTTTAATATTTCCAGACCAGAGTTGACCTCTGGAAATTGAAGTCTTAGATAGCAAAACTACAGATTGGGGTGTCTCAGTGTGAGTGTGTATGTAATTACTTAAAAACTGGTAGGAAAGTCAACATAAATGTGCTTTCCACAGAAAATTGCTAATACGTGTTGTATTGCATGTGTGATTGAAGGCTTGCACCAAGTACCAAGATACACACATTTATCAAGACGTGTTGGGCCCTGTAAATATATAGTGTTCAAGTGTCAAGTTAAAAAAAAAATCTTGAAATATGGGACAGGTGAACTTTATCCTGAAGGCCGTTAGGTGCTGTTTTTAGATTCAAGCGGAGGCTACCTGAGGTGGACTCCCTCCACCCCAACCCCCCTGCAAAAACACGTTTGCATCACCTCTCCTGGGAGATTTTCCTAAAGCTCCGTGATGGGTGGAAGAGACCCTTAGGAAGCAAGGTCACTCCTAAAGACGCCATGTCTTCATCTCGAACACTAGCTTCAGAGCAAGTGTTTCCAAAGAAGGTGCCAGGGCCCCACAGCAGGAACAGATCAGAATTTGGGGAAACCCTGGGCATACCCAAACAGCCTTGCAACACTGCCCGGGTGATTCTGCCCGGGTTCATTATTTGGTCTTCATTAGCTTGACTATGTGTGCCTAGATTTTTGTAGACCTGTTTAAAGGGTACCATTTATGCAATAATCATCTGTTATCGCGTAGCACTTGACAATACAGTATTGTTGATTTGTGCAATCAGTGTAGCCAATTGAAATTGGAGTCTTTCGTAATTTATATTTTAAAGGTATGATTAACATCCTTCGCATAGAGCTCAGTGTTCACCGCAAACGGTCTCCCCGCTGGTAGTACCTCACTAGCCCACACGGTGGTGCTCGTCCCCGCCCTAAAGCTGAGTCACGGCTGCTGTTTCTGAATTTGAGCGCTGAATTCTCTCAGCAGGAGACAGTGAGATTCCGTTTTGCGCTGCAGATGCTGACAAGGAAGAGACTATCACCAGGATTTAACTTTATTTGTTGTATCCTAAAGACGTCCTTTAGTGTGGCTGCAGACAGCTGAACAGCACCACGGCTTTTTTGCACTCTGCCCGACACTTGTTATTTAATAAGCATCGGATAATGCTCCGTGCTGGGTGCTGGGGGAGAAGTGAGGGTAGGAAGCCTTGACCGTAAAGAACTTCCTGGTGCAACCCCACTGTCATTTCTGCACCCACACTCTCACCAGCCACCAGGCCACAGGGCCGTCTCTAACCCCCAGGTCTGGCTGTCATTGCCTGCTCCAGATCCCTGTCGCGAACTCTTCAGTGTGAGCCCCACCTGTCTTGGTGTCTGTCACCCGAGAGCTTCCCTGATCTACCTGGATCATTCTTCCTTCTCTGGTTGCTTATTACAGGCTCAGTGTTTAGGCTGCGGCCCAGGTTCCAGTACTGTGACAGTCTTTTTTTATGTCCCCTCCCTGGGGGTTTAACGCAGTGGCCTCTGGTGCCCCGTAGATACCACTCTGGCCCTGTCCTTTTCACTGATTGTTGTGGCTTCTCTGCAAGCACAGGGTGGCATTTGTCCTGGTTTCTTTTTTGTTGTCGTTTCTTAAATTCAGTAAACTCGGCATTTTGCATAGTGCTTGACTCAGCCAAGTTATTGTTCAACAAATTAAAGCCATCAAGTAAAAACAAAAAGCTGTCAAACAACCATAAATGATACGGAGGGAAAAGCTATTGCAGTGTCGAAGTGTTATGAAGTGAAGATTAGAAATACAGTAAAAAAAGAAACAGGTACAATCTGGGGGTGGACTAGGGCCAGATGCAGAACGGAGACTGGAAAACTGGCAGGCAGCCTGGACAGGGGTCCTGCGGCTGTGGGGGCCTGGACTTGGAACAGTGGGGATCTGGGTGGACGGCTGTGCTGGGAGATGACAGGAGGAAAGGGGAACCCACCTGACCTGAACGCTGAAAGTGATTTACGTAGCACTCATAACACTTTATTCGGTGTTTGCTTTGCCACTGGATAAAGATTCATTCTTTTTTTAAAAAAATATTAAGGGCACGTTCCTACTTCAGCGCCCACCACACATCATTCCTTGGTAAAGCATTAGCCACGCTTTTTCCCCCGTACCAAATCAAACTTCAGGTCCCCTGTCCCATCTAAAAGAAGCTTTATAACCTAAAGTCTGCGGCCGCTTCTACTCCCACTTACATTCTAGTTGATTCTTTTTGGATTTGTGAAATTTTTAAAGTGAAGTTGAGCATGGCTTCCAGATTCAAATAACTTATATACAAATGTAAATCATATACAATTTTAGGCAAATTCAGAAGTTAATTTTATTACTAAAGTTTATCTTACCAGTTTTAGTTTTCAAAATAAGTGTAAAAAGATAAAGTGAAAAGTTGTTAATTCCTATGATTTCCTTCTTTCATTTTTTTTTTCTTCCATGTTTACCCCCAAAGACTCTGATCCAAGTGAACACTCATTCTGGAAACTTGTCACCTTACCCAAGGTTGGCCTTGTAGCCTTCGTCCTCATCTCTCTGAGCTCATGCTTTGGCTTCCTTGACCCTATTCTGTCTCTTTTTGTCTTGGGCAAGGTAAGTGGTCAATCACTAAAGGGGTGTGCTTTGTAGCAGGGGAACCCAAGTGCTTGCTTTTAGTCCCTTCCTCAGAGAATGTGCTCTGAATGGCTGAGAGCAGGTGGTGGATTGGGAACTCCAAGGTACCTGTGTCTTCTCTTTACGATCCCCCTAAAAGCTAGGGATATTGCATTAGTGACTTTTTGTACCTGAGACAAAGTATCCAACCCCCACATCTTAGAGAGGAAAGGTTTGACTTTGCTCATGGTTTAGTGCACACTTAGCTTACTCGAAGGCGGAAACGTGGTGGGATGGTGTGGTAAAGCAGAGGTGCTAGATCATGCCAGCCGGGAAGCAGAGCAGGAAGGCAGTGCCGGAGGGAACAGGTTGAAGGCCCGGATGTAGATCCCCAAGGCCACACCTCTGCGACAGCCTGGCAGGTCTAGAAGTGTGTTGTGCCAATAGCCTGGATGGATCCCAAAGCCAATCAAGTTGAAACTCCTCCCTAACAATACAGACATGATTCTGTGAGTTAAGGATCTGCTTCAGTAAGAAAGAATCCTTTCACTAGTGGCCAACACACTGGTGTCCTTTCCAAGGCTTTGCTCATGTCGGTGTAGCTCAGGCTTGGGTGCCATTCATGCCATGTAACAAGGATAGTTTTCCTCTGCTTGTTAGAGGTTCTCTATTCAGGGTTCTTAACTAGCTTAGTGTGAGGTGTCTATCACGTCTTGTAGACTCCCCGTGGGAACACCTTGCCCTTTCTAGGCTGTTTGATCCAATCTGATGACTATGAACTGTGTTAATCAGGGGTGGGAGAAAGAAACCAGAAGAATCTCTTCTGGTACTGAAAAACAAATATTGAATTCCAAAAGTTTGGTCATAGTCCTTTGCTTGTAGATATTTTTGAAAAACAGAATGATGTAATGGTTTTTCTTTCCAAAGTATAAAGATAAAGAATATAAAGAGCAAAATAAAAGAAGACAGGAAACAGAAAATAACCTTTTGCAAATGGGAATGGAACCTAGCTAGGGAGGGAGGAGAGGGGAAGCAGGAGAAGAAAAAGGGAAGTGACAAGGAGTAAGATGTGATATATATACGTGTGTCTCCAGCTCCCAGCGTCAGTGGATTATCTATCACAGACATGTACTAGTAAAGAAATCGATAAAAATAAATCTGGCTATTAAATGACAAAACAAGCATGATGCAACAAAATTTATGGTGGGTAATTACACTGGCAAGGTAATGTGTCCATTCAGGTAAAGATAGATAAAAGTTGAGACATTAATATTAAAATAGCATAATTGCAATAAAAACAAATATCTATGATCATTTCACATGGTCTCATCATTTACCTATCATAAGGATTAGAGTTAATCTTTCTTGTAATTGTACACTACCTCCTGAAATTACTAAATTTTGATTATTGCACACATCACCATGTGGACTATAATTTTAATACCTGACTTAAATTTTAAAGAATTATTAAGCTTACCAGCAACTGTGCATGAGGTAACTCGGCAAACAAAAGATTTTATGCTTCTGATAACACAATGCTCTCAATGCTTGAACAATATGCCTTTCGAGGCATTTTTGTGAGTTCTTTGAGGCGTCGTATCTATGTTGAAAAAAATCTGTAGCTCACCTCTGAGCGTATTTATGTATTTATGTAAAAAAAATTTTTTTTTCTCAAGAAAATATAGGTCATTCAAACAGGAAGGGAGAGGTGGGAAGGTTCCCTGAGCCAATGTTAGGTGGGAGAGGCCCGGGGAAGGGGCTGGAGACCTCTAACCCCCTTGGGAGTCTGCGGTGCCTCTGGACTGTCCCAGCTTGGGGGTGTTGCTGTCCTCCCTGCCCCCGTTAGCCAACTTCAATTTAACAGCTCTGGAGATATTTAGTTCCCTGGTTTTCTATCAATATTTTGTATCTGGGTACCCTTCTGATTTCTTGTGTAGGTTTCTTGGTGATTCGCTGTAAAGTCACCAGTTGAGTGTTAGGATAATGTGGTCCCCCTTTATCTCTCCAGTGGTGAGATGAGAAGAAAACATTTCTGCCTACTCTCTTGGGCCACTGTCTTTACAGGGCGGATTTCCTAGCATGAGTTAGCATTTGTCATACAAATGATGAAAATGTGTGGATTGATTCACAAATGAATCTCCTGGCTTAATTATGATACTTAGGCTCATCTTTTGGATCTGTGGTGTCCCCTGTGAGCTTCTTAGAAATGCAAATCCTCAGCCCTCATTCCTGGGCTTCTGAATCACAAAACCTAGGAGGAAACCCAACAATCTCCTTTATTTTATTTTTTTTATCAACTCTTTAGAAAATTCTTATGCACAAAAAAATATGAAACACTGGTTTACGTATAAGCATGCTGTAATTCGTAAATCTAAATTATATGTTTGATATCAAATGCTACAAAATAAAACATCTAGATCTTTTCACCTTTGCTTAGGATTTTTCTCTCCTAGAACAAAAGAAACCCATTTACTAAAATAAGACCCAAATCGAGACAAATACTGAGTGTTTAATAATACTGAGTGTATAATAATAAATCTAAAGAAGTGATGGGTGGAAAAGATGTAGATTTTATTTTTAAAAGTAACTTGACCGTGTGAGTTTAATAGAGAAATTATTTTCCAGTTTAATTTGCCAGCTGGATACGTGGGCCTGGTCTTCTTAGGCCTGGCGCTGTCCTACACCGTGTCCTCGCCACTCTTTGGACTACTGAGTGACAAAATGCCGGTAAGGACACTTGATCCTTCCTTCTATGGGGTTAGGCCAGTGACTTCTGGACTGGTTCTCTAGCACTCTTAGGGTCCCTTGGTCACCGACAAAGACAGTTCGGCTGAAGGGGAGGTTCTAGCATCTTCCAGCCTCAGCATCACGCCAAGCAGGAGCTTGCTAATGGAGGTCTTAAGTTAAACTGTGAAAATAATTGGATTGAACTTAATAATTAGGTTAAAGCGTGGAGATTATTGTGGCACTGTGACAAGTGAGACATTGGCTTTCGAGGAGATCATTTATTCTGGGAGTGGGAAGTGTGGTGAGGTAAATGTGGATGGAACATTCCAGCTCCATTTTATGAGGAAATTCCTTCCGTTTTCCCTCAGTGAGGTATAATCCCTTCAGTGTGGACAAGTGGTGTACAGAACTACTGCTGCCAGCCAGGTCTCAAATTTCTGAAGCTTCTTGGCTTTCAGGCTAAGTTCTGCAGTTTTTCTTTCTATTAGACAAAATCACATATTTATCAAAAAATAGCTCTGTGGCTGGGGATCACTTCCTACCCCATGTGCCAGAAAGCCAGTGGCTTGTGCAGTGCCGGAGCTGGGGTTTTGTTTTTTGTTTTTTTTTGTCTTTTTCATTTTTATAGATACTAGGGATCAAACTCACGACCGCACACTTGCAAGGCAGGCGTTTATGCTGCTGAGCTAAATCCCCAGTCCCTGGAGCTGTGTTTTTAAGCTGTACTTTTATATAACCGAACAGCTGTTGCCACCCTGTAACTGTTAGCCTGACTCATAGATCATAAGGTATATTTTATTGACTGCTGTCTTGGGCTGTTCAAATTCCATAACAAACTATCATAGGTAGTAATAGAAAGTTACTTGTCATGGTTCTGAAGCATTGGAGGCTCAAGATCAGGCTCATTTCCTGATTATTATTATTACTATTGTTGTTTTTGTTTTTTGAGACAGTGTCTCATGTAGTCTAAGTTGGTTTGGACTCACTACATAGCCCAAGCGGACCTCAAACTTGCTGCAAGCCGCCTGCCTCAGCCTCCTGAGTGCTGGGATCACAGGTGTGCACCTCCACGCCCTTTCCCCTATAACTCACAGGGAAAAAGGGACAAGGAGGCCCTCTGGGGGCTCCCATTCATGAGGGCCCCCTTGCAGTACCATCACATGGGGTGTTAGGGTGTGACACATCTGTCACCAGAATGCATAGGCATTCGGCACTTTTTTGGAACATAGTTTCTCTAGGTATCGTTAAGTGTTTTGTGAGTTCCTTAGGAGACTGTTTTTAGTTGTTCCCCACTCAGAATACTTCGTCATGTACAAAACTCTGCAGTACATTTCCTAAGGAGTCCTTGCCCTGGCCCATTCCCTGTCTCGTGGTAGATTGTCCTTGCTTTTGAGTCCATTGTCCACTTATTTTCTCTTAAATGTAGAATTTCATTTTCTTGAATGTACTTTGATTTTTGGATGTTGTGACATGCGTGCTTTAATGGCTTTTTATATTGTTTGATCAAGGAAGCTTCTTACCTCTGAGAGTGTCCTGGACTTTTTCCCTTTCCTAGCATCTAAGGAAGTGGCTTCTGGTTTTTGGCAACTTAATCACCGCTGTGTGTTTCCTGCTCTTAGGACCTGCCCCGGTCCTGCACATTAAAAGGTAAGTTTTTCCTTCTATAGTTTGGTCAAATAGCAAGAGGAATTAGTCTTAAATTTTTTTGTTATGATGCTGCCATGCCTCAGCATTTTAAACTTTAATACGTAACTGAATAAGTGCTTTGATTTAAGCCTATTTTGAATTATTAGACTATCATTGGCTCAAGCAAATAGGAATGCAGAAAATCTTCAGCATGAGGAAAATATTTGTTCTGTCTTTGGGTTTCTAGCGCATATTTATTTATTCCCATTTTTAAAACGCCATGTGTTGCTACCCACCTTTGATTGATAGTTCTTAGAATATAGTTTTGGTTTTTTCTACTGTTCCTCCTTGATTTGGAGATGGGAACCAAATTGCTTTTGTTTCTTGTCATCCTTAGCAGATAGTAGCTGCTTCAAAAGCTTGTTTGACATAGTTTATTTGCTAAAATAAAATGAATTTCCTAAGCCTTTTTGCATACTTCTAGGATGAAATATGATACGAAAAAGATTTGTCTTTCAGTCTTGAGTTTGAATTTGACTTTGCCACTTACAATTATTGAGGAAATAATTGTGCAAAATTGTGCAAATTCCTTATCTGCTAAGAGAGCCTTAGTTTCCTTAGGGATACCCTGAGCTATCATGAAGATTAAGTGAGATTGTCTATATTCCACACCTGGCATAATGCTCCACCTGGTACAGGTGCTAGCTTTGCCTCTATGTTGTTCCTCCCCTTCTTTGGCATTGTTCAGTTCATTGAATTTAAAGCCCAGGACTGAGAGAACCATATTAGTATTGATATTTCAGCCAGTTTTAAAAGGTTTTTTTGTGATGAGAAAGACTGGCTGCAAATGTGTGATCTGTGTGGCCAAAGAGACTGTCAGGATGTGTGTGATCTGTGATGCTATGGGATGCATGAGCTGGGTTCCCCCACTCCCCATAAGGACAGGGAGCTCAAGGGTGATCTCCTTGACTAGCATGGGCCAGCCGAGGAGGAGACATAACCCATGAAACCAACTTTGCTGGGCCCCCGTCTTTCCTAGTGTGGTTTGTGCCTCTTAAATGCTAAAGGTTTTTTTTCTTCCAAAATTTTTTTGCAGTCAGCTGTGGCTGCTAGTGCTGATCTTAGTGGTCAATGGCATCTCGGCCGGGATGAGTATAATCCCCACCTTCCCAGAGGTTCTCAGCTGCGCATAGTAAGTGATGCTGTTTCTTGAAGTGCTGCACCTGAACAGCAGTGAACATCATGAGTTTTGTGAATTTTTCAATTTCTTAGGTGTTAAGAAATTTCCCCCAAACCATTGTGTTTAAAGAATGCAAATATTGCTGTGGAAATCATCCATGTAGTAATACAATCATGTAAATGTCAATATAGATTCATATTAATACACTAATGTCAAAATAAGTGGAAGACTGATGTTTTACTTGGTGTGTGCTTTGGCGTATATGTAGTTTTTGAAACCTGAAGCTAAGGGGGGAAATCCCTTGAGTTTGTCCCTCCTTCGTGGAGCAGATCCATGCAATGCCCCAGGGTGGCCAGGCCATTACTTGGCCATTATTCCCAGGGGCCAAGTCTCTGCCAGGTCAGCTCAGCTGTCCTTCTGGGAGTAAAAAGCCACCTCCGTGCCTTCTTGGAGCTGTCCACTGTCCTCGACATTGCGGTCTCAGTGTACGGGGTTAAGAATGATAACTTTACAGGCATTTAATATGAATGGATCATGACATTAATATATCTAATAGATTTCATAAAAAGTGTCTTTAGAAAAATTATTTTACAATTCATAAAGCAGTGCTTTGAACTAGGTTTGTTTCTTTGATTTTGCTTTTGGAGTCGTTTGTCTGTTTTTAGGGCTGGGGATCCAATCCCAGACCCTCTGCCCACTAAGCATGCCCTCTGCCATTGAGCTGTATCCCCGGGCCCTTAGGCACACTCTGCTTATTAAAAGTGGAGCGTCATACCACTGATTTTGTCCAGATTTTCTTTGTTTTTTTTAATCTGTCATACAGTTTTTTCATTCAGGCAGGACTCCCTTTACTAACAGACACTCTCATGTCTCTCTTTGCAGTGAAAACGGATTTGAAGAGGGACTAAGTACAATGGGGCTTGTGTCCGGTCTCACAAGTGCCATGTGGTCAGTTGGGTGAGTAGTCCCAGAGTGTCGTCCCTACCTGCAAGATGGGAGATACTGTCTGCATTTTACAGATGGTGGTGCCTACTAGGACACCGCAAATGGCCAATAAACACACGAAAAAATGTTCATCACCTCTGGCCATCAGAAAAATGGAAGTTAACGCCATGTTAAAATGCCACCTTACTCCAGAGAGAATGGCTGTCATCAAGAAATCATATAATAACACGTGAGAAATCATATAATAACACGTGCTGGTGTCTTAGGTACCGTCTTGTTACCAAGACACAGTACCCAACACCCACAGTTAGGAAAAGGAAGGTTTCCTTTCCTCACAGTTTGTAGAGGTTTCAGTCGGTTGCCGGCTGGCTCCAAGGCAGGGTGACATGGCAGGGAAGGTTGCTTATGGCATTGGCAGCAGCAGACAAAGAGAGAGAGAGGTCAAGGGGAAAGGAAGCACCCTCCAGGCCATGCCCCCACGAGCATCTGCTCCCACCAGGCTACCTTCACATTAGCTGTGGCCCCGTCGTCGGTGGGCTAATGCACTGCTGAGCATCCCTCCTGCCCCATCTGGGAGTGTCTGAGTCACCTGGGGAGGTTTCCTGAGATAAAGGAACCCGTCTACATTGCTGTAAACTAGTACAGCCACCATGGGAATCAGCATGGAGATTTTTCTTTTTTTTTTTTTTTTTTTTTTTTTAATTTTTATTTAAGGAGAAAAGAAAAGAAAGAAAAAAAAACAGTGAAGGGGTACAAGTTATACAGATTTACAGAAGAAAAAAATGCGCAGTAGGAAATCACTAGTTAATGGATTACATATTGCCATCTTAGAAATAATTGTTCCAGTCACAAAATTAAAGCTTGTAGAGTAGACATTCCAACAATGATACTGCAAACAGTTCTGTTCAATGATCCAATAAAACTCTGTGATATCATTTTCTATCTTATACATTTAAATATACATGCAGTTATATAGTTTAGAGCACTTTCTTTTCCTCTCTTTTGTACAGTGACTATTACACATTTTGGGTTTCATTGCTCCCACGGTTCGTATTGCTTTTTTGGAAGAGAGTAAAACCAAATGTGACATAACAGAACAGAATCGGTCAAGTCAAAAGGGTGGACATAATAGATAATATAAAAACATAATACAAGGTGATCAACAATGGTTACCATAATGCCTCCCGCTATTTCTAATAGAATTGCCTATATCATTAGTTGTAATACAATTGAACAAAACCGTAAAGAATAAAACCGACAAAACCAAAACATTGGAGATATTGTAGGTCTTCAAAAGTAGATAAAAGTCAACGAGAATGGGCGTTATAATGAATCTCATTATCTTCTCAGCTGATGCCTAAACTTTCGAACCTGATACTATCCAGCAAAACAGAATAGAGGAACCTCAGTCAAAAACAAGATGGTGAGAGTAATACAGGGCTTCGAATTGAGATAATAGAGAGTCAAAGTGGGTTACTATATTATATCCTGCTATATTTTTCCCTGTAATTAAATGGATAAAAATAAAAAAGTAAATAATGGAGTGGAGATTGAGAAAAAAGAGGGCATAACAGTGAAACAGGGCAGATCAAAACATAACCATTTAAGCAGAATAGTGTTTCACCACCAGATAATCCTGACCCAAAAATAGTTACCATATTGACTCCCTCCCTGAAGTCCTTGAGTACAACTTCATATACTGTAGCATTAAGTATATCAAAACAATGTAAAACCATTTAAGAGAATGACAGCATTATAGAGTATTTAGAATCGACTAACAGAAAATGAACAATGGTCTCTGTATAATCTCCTTGTCTTTAAAAGGTTTTTGCTTATACTATCGTACATAACAAAATCCAATAAGATACAACCTGTTTAGACCATTGGAGACAGAAAAACAAAAGCTAGATGAGACTTCAAAACAAGATGGTACTAAATCAGCATTACCTATTAAGATGTCATTTTCTCCAAAAAAAGCTGTTCCTATCATCCAATCTTCTCTGTCCCATTTCTGTTGAGCTCTTTTTCTGTCAGTAGCTGTCAGTTTGTCTTCTTCATTTTGTTCTCTGCTCCATTCGTTGTGGCCTCCCCGCCACTATTTCTGGGTTCTTTGTATTTTTCTTTTTTTAGAATAGCCTGCAATACTTTCTGTAGGGTTGAATTGGTGGTTGCAAATTCCCCCAGTTCCTCTTTATCCTGGAAGCACCTCGTTTTTCCATCAATTTCCAGGGACAGTTGTGCAGGATATCTCAATCTTGGCTGGAGATTATTATCTTTCAAAGCTTGGATTATTTCTCCCCATGCTCTTCGTGATTTGATGGTTTGTGAAGAGAAATCTGCTGTAATTCTGATGGGTGTTCCCTTGTAAGTGATCTGTTTCTTGTCTCTTACAGCTTTTAATATTCTGTTCTTGTATTGAATTTCTGGAATTTTTATTATTATATGCCTGGGTGTTTCTCTGTTAGGGTTGTAGGTAGCTGGGGTCCTGTATGCCTCATACATCTGAGTATCTTTACCTTTTGCTAAATTAGGAAAATTCTCCTGGATTATTTCTGTGAGTAGCTTTTGCAGTTCACTTGTTTGTGTCCCTACTTCTTCTTTTATGTTCTTAATCCTTAAGTTATGGCTCCTCTTATCATCTTCTTGTCTTTGGATTATTGCTGTTTGTTTCTTTGTTATTTTTAAGAAGTTTTTCATTTCATTCTCCCATGTTTCAAGTCTGCCCTCCAGTTCAGATAGTCTGTCCTTAGTTTCTTTCAAGCTGTTATGCCAGTCTTGGATAGACTTCTTAATTTCTTGATAGTCCCTTTGAACCTGCTTCACACACTCAATGCTTTCTCTGTTTTCTCCATCAAGCAATTCTCCCCTCTTTTTCTGTTCTTCCATTCCACCATCTGCTTTTTCCTGGGTGGTGCTTAGCATTTCTCTAACTATTCTGCATACTTCTAGCTTCAGGTCATTGATAACTTCATTCCTGAATTGGTCTATGAGGCTGTCTATATGGCGCTTAATGTATATTGGTGCGGTGTCCACTATTGCCTGATTCTCAAGATTGGGGGCCGAGGAGCCTTTTTTGTTGCTTCCCTTCCCCATATTTTCTGTTCCTTATAAAATGCAAGCTTACATGGGAGGCCCGGCTTCCCTGCCTGTCAGCCACAGCCTGATCAAATTGCGCTGGCTAGTTGTTCCCGCCCACCGCTGCGCCCCAGGGAGTTGCGGAGGAGGCAGCCTACGCGGGAGTCGGTCGCTCCTCCGGGCCACCGTCAGGCTCTGGGATCTGGGTTAGGCCAGCCTAGGGAGTCCGCCCGCAGCGTCACCCAGGCCAGGCACTTTTCACCAATCCCGTCCGAGAGGGGAATGTGTGGCTGGAGTTGCCACCGCGCCCTGCTCTTACAGGACTGCCCGAGCCCAGAAAAACCTCCGCTGGAGTCAAACTGTGGTAGGGGGTAGTTTCTCTCTCACCTCGCCACCAGTCAGTTTTCCTCCTTGTCCGTCCTGTTTCCGACTCCGTTCGCAGACTCCCGTTCCCAGAGCTCTGCGCGTCTCTCCTTGCCGAGCCGCTGTGGAGGCAGCCAGCTGCCGGGCGGCGGGAAACCCAAATCGCGGTTTCCAATGGCGCGGGGTCGAGCCTCTACACCGAGTCTTTTCTGTTCCTATTTTAGCGCCAGGACTGTATCCTAAGTTGGATTCTCTCAGCCCAGTTCGTTCCTGAGTCAGCAGAGCATATCTCTACTGGTTCGTATCTCCTTAGTCCGCATCATTCCTGGCCTCTGAGCCGAGCCTTTCAGAGACCCTTCAGTAGTTGCTGTTGTCTGTCCGCCATGTTCTCCCAGAGCCCCAAAATCAAATTTCTGCCAGGCATGGTGGCATACACCTCGACTCTTAGCCTGTCGAGGACGGTAACCGGAACCCGGCGTCTGTTCCTGTTGCTTCTGCGCCCCCCCGACCGATGGCTGGGCACGAGCTGCAAAATCCTGCAGTCTTCCCGCGTGTCAGCATGGAGATTTTTCAAAAAGTTAAAGATAGCTATTCCATTCAACCCAGCTGTTCCCCTTTTAGGTATCTTCCTGAAAGAATTCAAGTCAGTATAGTACATGGAGGCACATGTGTTACAGCCGCGCAGGCCATAATAGCTACATTTTGAAAGCAGCCTAGAGTTCTGTCAACAGATGAAAGCATAAGGCAAATGTGGTACTTAGAGTACTACTCTGCCATAAAGAAGGGTAAGCTTGAGTCATTGGTAAGAGGATGGAGGCCTCTTGAGACCATAATGTTAAGTGGAGTAAGTCAGACAGAACCTTCTGTATCACATGGTATCTGCTTGCTGAACACAAAATGTAAATACAGAGCAAAATAAAAGATGGATAACAAGAACTAGGTAGATAGATCTTTCTCTTGGGGAAGGAAATCAAGGGGTGAAGGGAGGAAGGAGAGAGGGTAATGGACTGGAAAAAAATTAAGGTATTTCGTATACATAAATCAACTCCCCACCAAGAACACAGTCTTTATTTATTGGAACATGGACTAACAAAAAATAAGCAAAGCAAAAAAAAAAAAAAAAAAAAAAGTTATATAAGATTCCCAAATAGGCCAGAGTGAGAATTTTAACTCACACCTTCTGACTGCAAGATGTGCTTACAGGGCTGGGGATTTAGCTCAGCGGCATAAGTGCCTGCCTTGCAAGCAGGCAGTCGTGAGTTCGATCCCTGGCACCAATAAAAAGTGTAAAAGACAAAAAAAAAAAAAAAAAAAAAAAAAAAGATGTGGTCACAGCAGCCAGTTTGGTACCTAAGCACACTGGGGGTAGTGGTGCATCCCTGCGATCCCAGCACTTGGGAGGCAGAGGGAGGAGGATTGCTGCAAGTTCGAGGCCTCAAAAAACTAAAAACAAACAAGCACAAAACATAGAAAGAAACAAAAAGCAAAATGGTTTCATACACATAGTCTTACGTACATTTAAAAAAGTACGCTTCAGATTTCGAATTTCTTCATGTATTCATTCATCTTTACCTTCCACTATATCAAGAGCATAAACATATGTGAGCAGTGTTGTATGGAGAATTCATATGTATTCGGTTGAGCTGTATTGTATGTGGATATTGAGAATGTTACACTACATAGTTTTGAACATTTGTCACTTTTTATTTCTCTGTAAGCCACCAACTTTTCAGACGCAGTTCTTGGGAATTGTTTAAAAGTTTTAAACATCACCATTATCAAATAGACATGGTTTTCTTTCTATTGCTTCTTATTTTTATTTATTTTTTGCAGCATTAGGGATTGAGCCCAGGTCCTCGTGCATGGTAGGCAAGCACTCTATCACTGAGTGACACCCTCAGTCCTAGGACTGTTTTCTTCTAACTATCGCTGTGCCTGGGAATTAACTTTTAATTCAGGATTTGTAACAACAATTTAAGGAAGACCTGTGAGTGTGGGATTGTGGGACTGTGATTCAGTAACTATTCTTTCTGCTCTTTAATAGCCACTTACTTTTCTCTCCTCTGCTAGTGCTTTTATCGGACCAATGCTGGGTGGATTTCTGTACGAGAAACTTGGTTTTGAGTGGGCGGCAGCAATCCAAGGCTTGTGGCCACTGATTAGTGTGAGTAACATACCGATTTTTTTTCTCATTTTCCTTACATTTCTTAATGTAAGGAGTAACTTAACTGGGAGGATTTACACTAACCAGTATCTTTCACTGCATTAAAGGGATTAGCGATGGGCTTGTTCTACCTCCTGGAAGACTCCAGAAAAAGGTATGTTCAATTTTTGGGTTGAACTATCTCCCTTTCAAGGTTATCTTCAGAAAATGGAAAGAAATAGTATTTTGTATCTATTGTCTCATTTAGCAGAGTGCTGGGCCCAGGAGGCTCCCTACTTGGCAGACACTTTTTTAAGAAGTTAACTTCTTGGCATGGGGTGGTTTTTAAGTACTAGAAATAATAAGATTCTCCCCCTCTCCTTTGTAGATCTAAACCTCCAAACACCATGGGCAGCGCGGAGGAACAAGCTGCCCTGTTGCCGGGTGAAGTTTAGCCTTGCGAGCTCTGACTGATCCAAGGCCAGGAGATGGATGCTTCTGGCTCTGTGCGTCACTGCTGGAAGCATTTCCTTGTGTTGCACACAGAACTCTGTGGACTTCACACTCTCATGCTGGAAGCATCAACATAATTTTGGATGCTCGTGTAGCAGACCTCACTTTTGCCCTGCAAAGCAGGGGTCCTGAACCAATCAACATTTAATATGGCAGAGAGAGTTGAAAAGCAGTAAAAGTTTGTGGGTGTTTTGTTTTGTTTTGTTTTGGTTTGGTTTTGATTTTTGAGGCAGAGTCTTGCTTTGTAATTCAGGCTGGCCTTGAACTCACGGTGATTCTCCTGCCTCAGCCTCCCAAGTGCTACCACGCCTGGCAAAGTTTGTGTTTTTAAGTGACAAAACTTCTTGAAGATGTCGCTGACTGTTTCTAGGCTTCTTATTACCTCTGTTTACCGTTTATTGTAAGGTCACTGATTTCATGAATACACTTTTTATTAACAAGGGAAAAATAAATCGATGTGTTGTATACCAGCAACATAAAGATGACTCAAAGTCTGTAATTAAAATTTGCTTTGAGAGATATGCTTTCTCTTGTGGGCTGAGATTTCTGTCCTTGTTAAAGGCAGAATTCCTTCAGTTTTTCTAAAAAAATTTTTATGTGTGAAAATATGAGAAATAAAAATACAAGTACCATTTTTGTGGTATATTTTCAAAACATTGCTAAATTTCACATTGCTCATCCAGGCAGTTTTTGTAAGCTGTGGGTGGGGTGTGCGCTGCTTTTGCTCCTGCATTCTCTCCCTAGAGCGGCTCAGTGTCCGATCCTACCCCAGCTGCGAATGGGTGTTTTACGTGAGGGAAGGGCTGCTGCAGTTCCACGGACGTGCATGCAGCTGTTGGAAGTATCAGGAGGTCAGCTCTGACATCTCATTCTTGTGGTGCAATAGCCTATCTTGCCTTTTTATTTTCTAAGAATGCAAAGTTTTCTCTGTTCATTCAAAACTGCCTTTTGAATGTGTTTTGTGGGCTGATGCTGTGCTTGGGCTTGGGCTGTGATCGCAGTAAACATCATCTCTAGCCTCTGTAATTTATGCCAGTGGAAAGTACAAACAGAGATCTTGAATTATCTTAAAGTTCTGAGAAGAAAGCTTGGTGTGACAGAGAAGCTGGCTGGCGTTGATGAGGTGTGGGGTCTGCTGTAGGCCAAGGCTGTCTCTCCATGGCGGGGGACTTTTGGTCTGAGATCTAGAGAGTGAAACTGAGGTCACTGTTCATTCAAAGGAGAGAAGACTACAAAAATTATGCAAAAGGCTTGAAGTCAAAGATGAGACTGTTTCACTCACTGGAGTCCTGGAAACGGGAGGTCAGGGAAATGGGAAACAACCAGCCCCGTTTTTCTTTGTGTGTGGTTGAAACTAGGACCTTCACATTGAGCTACATCCCCAGCCCTTTTTATTTTATTTTTTTATTTTGGAACAGGTTGCCACTAGCTCATGAAATTTCCCAGGCTTGGTTCAAACTTAAGGTTTTCCTGCCTCAGCCTCATAGAATGCTGAGCTTGTAGGTGTGTACCTTCACATCTACCCAGTAACCAGCTTTTAAATGGGATGCTTGGTGCTGTGGATTTAGCTCAGTGACTTAAGCGCACGTGGCAGGAATGAGGTTGTGAGTTCGATCCTGGTACCAAAAGAAACAAAAGTGATGCCAGCGTGTATTTCACACGTTTGTGGCTGTTCATCGCATGTGGATAGGTAAGGGGACTGTGTAAGCCAGGATATGACAGAGGGAGAACTCTGGAAGATCTGAGAGAGAGCCATTAATGGTTGGGAGCAGAGAGGTGGCCACAGAGAGAGAGAGAGAGAGAGAGAGAGACAGAGAGAGAGAGAGAGAAAGAGAAGAATGTGTGGGGAAAGGGGCCAATGGGATCTCTGATGAGGAGAGAGAAGAGAGCCATCTAGGTTGGCTTGGTTTTGACTCGAGAGTACGGGGAGCTGGTGATGCCATGTAGCAAGATGGGGAAGCTTAGACAAACAGGACCTGGGAGTTACTGAAGATTCAGCAGTAACACCAATGGAAAAGCCACTGCTCTGTGCTCAGGTGGAACCCTTTACAGTAATCATCACCACTAACCAGGCTTCCTGAGGAGGCAGACCGTGTGTATGTACCTTACTTCTGATGGATAGTTCAGTTCCTGGATAAACGTGCCGAATGAATAGAGCGGTGGGCAGACCCAGAATGACCGATGCTTCTGTATTTGGAACACAGTGATCCTGAAGCTCCTACAACACAAAATGAAAATTGTCCATCACCAAGATCATACTTCCAACAGGAGCAGGTGTGAATTCACACTGAAGGGCTTCAGCCATACGCAGTGAGTTAGAATACGGTCATTTGGCGATGATGTGCAAGAATTGCTCGTAATCACTTGTGCTGTGAGGTATCCGAGTGTACTCTTGCATATATGAACATAGATGTAGGAAGTGTGCAGCTGAAGATCAGATGTGTATTGATCTCAAGTCCTGCTTCGTGTATCATGGTTAGGAACCCGTTCATTGGGTAAACAGGTCACTGACCTAGAAGAATCCAGATGTATTGGAAAATGCGACACAGTGAGAGTACACGAATTTAAGTAGGAGAATAAAAAGACTAAAAAGGAATCAAACACATACAAGTGAGAGAGATGTCAGAGAACCCTAATTGTTTTCAGAAGTTCAGGTTTTTCTGATTTCGCTGCACTGATTTGTTGGGAAAGAGACCAAAATGATCAGGGGAGTCAGGGACTACACTGGGAAACTTTTATAGCTTCATGTAGTGAGTGTCTATTGTTTCTGCCTTCCAGCCTTCCCTTTTCTTCTTTTTTGTCTTGTTTTTTGCTTTTTTTTTGAGACCAGCTCTTGTGATGTGATCCAGGTTGGGCTTAAACTTGATCCTTCTGCCTCAGCCTTTTCACGTGCTGGGATAGCAAGGTTGTGCCACTACACAGTCCTTTTCTTTCTTTCTTTCTTTCTTTCTTTCTTTCTTTCTTTCCTCCTCTCCCTCCTCCTCTCTTCTTCTTCTTCTTCTTTGTCTTTTTCAGATAGGGCAGTTCTGAGCTCACTTTGTAGCTGGTCTCAAACTTGCAAGGATGCTCCTGCCTCAGCCTCCTGAGTACTGAGATTACAGGTGTGCACCACTACACCAGGCTTCCCTTCTTTCTTAAAGGGAACTGATTGCTTGTATTTGTGTTTGTGTCATTCCTGTTGGCTCCATGGTTTCTGGAATATTGGCTGATCACAGTCCATACCCACCTGGCTCAGAGATTAATGCAAGGCTGAGCATGTGAGTGAAGCAAGGCCAGTGGGAATCCTTCTTAGGACTTTTGACCTGACAGTTTTCTCTCATCAGAGACAAAAGGAACAGTTACCCCTAGAGATCCCAGAAGTTGTCTTCCCTGCAAATTGGGAAAGACTCACTTCCAAAGATGACACCAAAAGGAGCCAAGCAGAGAGCTCTGAAAAGAGAGGAAGGGGCCACACTGCACTTAAAGAAAGCCTGCCTGGGGCTTAGAAATACCAAAGCCCTGTGCGGCTCCTTATGTAACAGTCACTGATTAATAAACGAAGACAGATTCCAAGTTATTTTATTGTTTTTGTGAAAATGTTTCTGACTCACAAAAAGCATATATAATTACATAACAATTGCCCATATACCCTTGGCCCAGCTTTTGCAAAAACAAATTAGGAAGAGAGTAAAAGCCTTTTGTGCTTTTCTTTCATTTCATTTTCCACCTTTCCTTGTCTCATTCGTTCTCCTGGTGAAAGTCACTGTCTTAGGATTTTCATAAATCATTCCACGAGTTCTTGATAGTTTCTTATGCCTATTATCTTGGTAGTTTTTTTTTTTTTTTTTTTCCTTTTATTTGACAGTACTGGGGATTGGATTGAACTCACAACCTTGTGCTTGCCTGGCAGGCACTTAGGCTGCTGAGCTAAACCCTCAGCTCTTGGTAGTTTCTTATCCTTAGCAATAGTGCATATCCCTTTTTAGTACAGTTATTGCATCTTTTGACATTTATATGTAATGTAATTTATATGTATTTTGCATATTTCATTTTACATCCAACACAGTGAATTTAATCTATGTGACTAAGTATTACATTATTTCATCCATCGTCACTGTGGGCACACTGCTCATTACGCTGTTGTCTCTCAGCTCCAAACCCAGCTTTCTGCCTTCTTTGGGTGCTTTCATGCCACCCGGAGAAATGAGTTTTTCCCTTGCCAGCTGGTTCATTGCATTCTGACATGAGGGGGTGCTAGTGGAGGACTCTTTCACTTGTCACTGTTCCCATCAGCAACTGTCACTGTATGTGGTGACAGTGCTTTCTTTAGTTTCCATTTTCCCTGCACTCTCAGTACTAGCGTGATTGCGGTTCTCCAAAGCTGCCAACCGCAGCCAGCGCCTGACTTGGCGCGTACTCGCTGCCAGCTGAGCTGCCTCGGTTCTGACTCCCAGCCTCTCGTTCATGGGGCGGGGGGCCCTGGCACCCTTTCCAACACCCCTTGTCCTTATTCACTTAAGAAAGTTGCTTCCTATAATTATCTCTGGATTATTCAATATTCCTCATTTGTTTATCACTTATCAAATACTTGTTTAGCCAAATCTGTATATTAAATTTCTTAGAATTTAAGATTCTGTTTTCCGGGTTGCATCCTGCCTGGAACGATGAGTAAAACTTTAGTCTTGGGGCTCAGAGAAGAGCATCCTCCCAATACAGTATTTTTTTGGCACACGAGAAATTTGACCTAAGGGAAATGAAAGGCCTTAAAAGCCTGTTCAGGATCACAGGCCTTCTGAGCCTGCGTGGATTGTTCCCATCCAAGGAGCCAGGGAGAGGCTCCTCCTGAAATTCCTTCATGTGTATAAGTCCAGACTACAAAAGGGAATTCTATTGTCTTTCACTCCTGTAGGGAGCTGTTGAGGCTGGAATTGACCACACCTGTGGGAGCTGGCCAGCTGGGTCCTGGGCCGCTTTAGTGAGCAGCAGGAACAAGTGACTCCTGGGCTCCGAAACGTCAGGCCTTTAGGTTACTATACATGCAGATTACTAGGCAACAGGGTGTCACGTGCCATTAAGTTGCTAAATGTATAAATAAACGCCTCTATACTCTCTGGAGAAAGAAGGCTCCACCGGACCCCAGCTTTTGTTCCCTATTTTTTTCATTGTCTCACAATCCTTACTCCCAGGAACCTCAAGAGCTGTGCCAGTTGTGGCACACACCCACCCTGAAATCTCATAATTATTAGCTCAGAAAAGAAAATGGAAGAATATTACCATGTCTGGCTGGACATTGATGATAACATCCATCCCTCAAACTCACTCAAATTCCAAGAACTGAGTTCCAGGGCACACCAATATTAAGAAGTCAGGAAGGATAAGAAATAGAGAAAAACAAAACTATGGAGATAAAACAAAGTAAACCAATACAAAAGTCCAAGTGAAGAATGAGGAAAATCTGATAACTGCAGCAAAGGAAATGCATCAAGAACAGGAGAGTGGCCGCTGTGTCAAACACTGCCAGGATGTCAGGTGACACAGAGCTAAGAACTGGTGATCAGCAAGGTGGAAATCAACAGTGACCTTGACAAAACAGTGAAGTCATCGGGTGAAACACTGTTGGGAGGAAGGAAACTGAGATGAGGGGTATGTATTA